GTCATCAGTCCAGGGTTATGTAAATTTTATATTATTAAAGATAGAAACCATAATCGTATACTTAGTTCGGACTTTATACATGATTTTTTTTCCTTTCTTCTCTTACTGGTACATTACTCTCAGCACATTGTAAGAAAAATAAATGTATATTATTATTATTAATCATGTACTTTGTATACTTTAGACATCTATATCACAAATAATATAATACTATACTACGTAACTATTACAAAATTGCAAAATAGAGCCTTTTCTAAAGTTCTTTCTTGTTTTTAAGAAAAAAATTAACTTCTAACATAATTTGAGGCTTCTACCCATAGACAAATGTAACTTCTATCGACTGATCCCGCATGAAAGCAGATATAATAATTTTAATGATCAGTCCATCAACTCCATCAACGAGCAATTAATAAAAATTACCTCTTACATAAAACTATTAACGTCCAGCCGCGCGCGCCGCCAATAAACTGATCGAAATCATCTTCTGCGCCGATAATAAATTAATTGTTTTATTATGTCACAAGCGAGACGCGATAAAAAACCGACAAATGACCACGGAATTGAGACATCCCGCTATCTCCATTATTAGACACGTGAAACTCTCCTACAAATACCAGCCGTCATGAGATAAAACCTATCGAGAAATCAAAATGGCTGCACACCCATTTTTTACCGACCGCAGCGTGAGCCTTATGCTAATGAGGCCCAAAAACAAACATTGTTACAAGCCAAATGTGTAACATACAATAAAAATAAATTAAATAATAAAGGGAATCGTTAAAATGGAAGAAATGTCCGTAATTTATCCACGAGTCACCTTTTAGGCATTCCGTGGATGCCATCGCGGCGGGGTCCCGCCCGCTCTAGACGCGATCTCCAAATAAAAAGGCGCCACAAAAAGACACATTCAATAAGCCGTTGGCCATTACTGGCCGTAATCGATGAGATAAATTAATAATAATGAAATCTGAAAGACATGAGATGAACATAGGCGCCCGCTGATATTTGACAAGCGCTAGCTATGCGGCGTCAATAAGAACCAGACCATCTAACCATAACAAAGCTTTGCATTATTCAATTATAAACTACACGAATACTGAAAAACCTCTATTTTACTGGTTATTTGATTAGAATTATTTTGTTTAATTTCGCTATCATTAGTATGTGTGTGAATGCCAACACTTGAAGATTGACCACCACTATTACTACCAGAAATTACATAACCTTCCAAATTAGCCATTAATCTTCGTCTACCATTTTGTTTTACAACACGTGTTTCACCTCTAAACTAGGCATTTTCAGGCAAATTATTAGATCGCTGCTCTGAGCATATTGTTAACCGTTCGCAGATTGAGCGATATTTGATTAAGAGAATTCAGATAACACCTAGTTCAGTAAAATATTGCCCTGTATTTTAAATCGTAAAATCATATATTGAATCAGCTTACTTGAATTTTTTTTAAGTCTTAAAATAAATAGACAAAACTTTGATTGATATCTATTAATTACTAAAAATCAACAGTCATTAAAAAGAAATCATTGAAGTATATCATGTATATATTATACCTAATATAGCGTGATTTTTTGAATTATGTACATAATATAAATCAATTTAAGCTTTTTGAATTCTATTTTGTACGCGTTTCTGAAGAAGGAAAACTAGTTAATTACATTTCTTGTAAATGGTATATCAATACATATGTATCAGAGTTTTAGTTAGTCCTTCAAAAACACTCCGAAATCTGCATCCAATTTAGTGCAGTAGTGTTTGCGTGATACCAGAACAAAACAGACAAAATTTCTAAAAATTATTCTATTGCTCTTAATTATCATATCAGATATTTCTTGTATGTCGTCCATGTATGGACATCGTCTAAATAATTTTGAACGGACTACTAAAAAAGGTTCTCAATTCGGTTATATACCTAATATGTTTTTTATATTAGTTATCTCGTAAATCCGTCAGTTATAAACCAATTAAAAAAAAATTATGTTAAAAAATCTAGAACTTACAGTTTGGTCACATAATTTTTTTATCAAAATCAGTAGTTCAATTTAAAATGAGAATAACTGATATTACCATAATTGAAGTCTTTTTTTGTGAGACACAATCTAATATGAATACGACAAAACCTGCCTGATAACACCGGCAGGGTGACAATATATTATAGCCAGCTCAGGTTGTTTATATTGAAGTCAATATGTCCAACAAATATTGGATTTGTTTTTCAACAAATACTGTCATATGATATTTTCTAGTTCTTTTATTCTATACATTCTATAATCTCTATCCTATAGGGACCAATTCCAGTAAGTTATTCAAGCATATGAAGAGGTTTCAGGATCGGCAACATACGTATATGACATCCCTGAGAGATTCATAGACAAAGAACGGTTATCAACAAGCGGTCTCTATTTGCTAGTAGGTACCTATAATAAAACATTATAACTAGGGCCACAGAAAATTTTCTTAAAAATTACTATTTGTTTTTATGAGCCTAAAAATGTTGTATTTTCTTTTTTTAATTAATGTCAAGTAAAATCGACTATAGGTATCTACCTATCATATTATATATGTTGATATTTAGTTATTATGAGCGCATAAGATACTGATAATGGATTTAGGTACTTCATGATCAATAAATTTGATATAATACGATGAATGTGTTATGGTTAGTCAGTGCGGTGTGTTTAGAAAATTTTCAATATATATGAAATACACGTACCTACTTACTCGTTACCTTAGAGTATATAGATAGTGTCTCCATACAATTGCTTCGAGAAAAGCGACAACTTTTTCATACAATTTTGCGTGATAAATTGTGTGTGATTATTTTATAACTTCTGTATTTATTTTGTTTTATAATTTTTGCATCTTTTTAATGCGCAAAAACTAATTTTGTTTAGTAAAAAAATTGAATATAGATACGGCAAAATACACTGCGTGCATAATTTATACACATTATGTTTTGTTCAAATCGCCTCAGCAACCGTCTGTTGAGTAGCCCTCGTTTGGAGCATGCCTACTCCCCATAACATCTCCTCTCTTGTTAAATGGTGCCACTGCATCATGAAAACAGTCGCAAAATTCCGAATCAATCACTAACTTGATTTAAAACATTAATTTGACAAAAAAAGATTTCCAAAAACATGATAGGTAAATTGAAACATTCGAATTTCATCTTAATAATGCCGCGCAAATCAATTATTTTTAATTATTTATTTAAATTCAAATTTAGAATCGTTAAAAAAGACATATAAAATATCTTCAAAAAAAGGTCAGTATTTTTAGAATTTATGAACTTTATATGAAATATCCCTAGACGATGTTGAGGTGTGTATATAGGACGTTAAAAAAAAAAACGAATCGACCAATTGGAAAATTATCTGATAAAAAGTTGACCCGTTTTTGAGGCTCAATGCTCTCTGTATAATGTAAGCTCGTATAGTCGTACTTTTGTTGGCTTCGTACACGTACTCAGTACGCACGTGTATAGTAAGGTAGTTGCAAGTTCACAACTGAATCTGTCTTAAGACTTATTTTACTATACTGACACAGAGTTTTGTAGAGATAACAAATTACTCGGAATGAAATTATTAGTTTAATAATAGAAAGAGGAAACATTTAATTTTGCATGTGTTGGGCTCAGCAAAAAATTTCTTATAGAAAGCTGTATTATTAGATTAGAATTTTATTATTCCTCTCGCGATGAGCAGCAGCATCCTTCTTAAAACATTTCCAAAGCTTAACTGCGGTTGCGAATTCGCCTGCCAAGCGTAGCAACTACTGGGAAAACCACGCAAGGGGAGACTTATGTTCAGCAGTGGTCAGTTCAGTTCATATCATTGCCTTTATATTATTTATGATGACAGTTGCTAATAATCTTCATATAATCACGCCACATGTGTAAAATAAAATGGTACAATTTTCGAGATAGCCTGAACTAAGACCTTTTTTTATCGAAACTTAAATTAAATAGGAGCTAAAATATAATAGACAACGGATTACCTGTTTTTTTTTTCTTGGATGAAAATGGATTGGTAACCCCGCCTGCGCTAACGGGATACCCCGGCGGAGTACCAGTGAAGGGTGATAAATGAGAAAGAAAACAGGCCAGTTAGCCTATCATGATGAATTCATCAGGAATTAATCATGATAGTTTCCAGGGGGAACCGCGTGGAGGTCGACCTGGTTAGGTATATTGCTAGCAATGGGATTTTTAGTCTCTATTACTAACAATCCCTCCCTCCCCCAGATTACTTGTTATTAGCCACATCCTTGGCAAGCCAAGTCGCAACCCTTGCTTGCGATAATTTTTTATAGGTTATACATAGAAAAGAAAAACTTGCTGTAAATCTTATCAAAAAGTATGAGTTTACCAAATTTATTACCTATTTACACTTGGCAACGGGAACCCTAAGTTATGAATTACTGGCAGGTAACTGCATTTATCATTAGTGCATTATATTTTTGCTCGTCTTTCATTTAAACCATGTATCATTAAGTCATATCTGCAGGACTCAGTGACGGTGTCTTAATGTAAGATAGAAATCACAAAAATTATTGCATTTATTAATAAATACTTAGACCAGTCTCCTCCGATAATGTAAGTCAATAATGATCGAAATCATGTGTGGTATATCTATTAGTGTTGTTCGTGCTAGTAAAAAAGATGGGCTAAAAAAAGAAATATCTGAAGCGGTAAAACTATTCTTTTTTAAAAAAAGGAAGAATCAGATGGAGGAAAACTTGAATCCTTAAAAATATTCCTTCCCTTGGTTACATATTATTTGCTTAAAAGTTAAGGAAAATGTAGTATCAATTATCAAAATGTATATAGTTCCTAGTAAAACCACGATTAAGATCTAAAATAGAAGCGACTATATATACTTATAGATATAAACTGCCTAAAGTAGTAGATATTAGTGATTAAATTATATAATACCCCTATTAATAAATAATAAAATCCCGGGTTAATGAAAAAAAAAAAACAATAAAATGTTTCTTAATTTTTATTGGTAAATTCACATTCAAATTATAGACCACGTCGATGACAGATGTTATATATTGGGATTTCTACAGAAAATTTAGTAATTATTATATACTATTATTATACTGTATCGGTACTTTTCAATTTCTACACTACCTACATCTTCAATAACTACATCGATTTTAGGGTGCGTAAATGCTTCAAAATTCCAGTGTCAGGAGCGAGTCAGCAATGGGATTGTCAGAAAATAGAAAATACACATTACATCATTCATTTACGAATTCACAATACAGATCGAACATCAAAAATATTTCTATATTAATAGACTACTCACATAATCGTACTAAAATGATAAAACGCGTGCGAGTCACGACGGATGTGACATAAACGTAACGGATGATTCTCATAATAATTTAATCTAAAAACGATAACTGCACTAGTGACCGCGAGCTATCGCTCTCGCTGGTAATTAGACATTTGTTAGAGCATGTCCACAATAAAACTGTAAATATTAAGAAACAAGAAGGCCGTCCACGCGGGCATCGCTTTGAGATTCTGAGCCCTTGGCCGGCCTTCGCTCGTCCTCCTCAGTACTCAGTCGCACCGCTCTCCTTCAACATATTATCATTAATATTACATATTAAATAATCATGGGGTAATTTCAGTTCAATTCTGTTACGAATTAAGAAAATGTAAACTAGACCCTTCGCCGATTGCGTCACAATACACGGCATATTAACTAATATATGCTATGGCTACTTAACTCTAACATTCACTGCACAACTTCGCTTCTGTCATTCGAGTGCATTTACATTGACCAATTTACATTTGTTTATCGTTCAAAATTAAACAAACGACAATCGTTTAAGGCGACATCGGCCACATAGAATAAGTATACATATAAATGGAAGTATCGCTGTACATCAGGCAGTCGACGCCCACAGCCAACGTTACTAGTGTAAAAACCATATCGCCGTGTAAACGGGGTACCGCTTCCTATTAAATACATTCAAAATACAGTATACAGTAGCCTGTCAACTTCATGCGCCGCACTCGTAGCGAGCTCGCGAGGTTTAATCGTACAGAATACAGCATTCACTGCATATTTTGATATTGGGAAAATATTTCGAACTACGAAACAAATGTTGAATTCTATATTCCATCTATACGACGACTTTTGCGATGATGTTACTGTCGAAGTAGGAAAGGGAAGATAATCTGCTGATAGATTTTTCAGCCCCGTACATTCATACCCTACAGAAGTACTGCGGATGGAGTTGACAGGCTATCTATGTTGTGATGTAACCTGCTAAGGGCCCGAAGGGGACATCGCTTAAATTAGAATCAAGAGTTTGTATCGAGTTTCGGTGTGGTCGTTGGTTAATGCCGATGTGCGGGGAGGGGCAGGGACGGCGGTGCGAACACGTGATGGGTTTACGAATCCCACCAGTCGGGGCCACCGCTGCTGCCGCCGCCGCCGCCGCCGTAAGACCCGCCATAGTTGCCACCGTAAGAACCGCCGCCGCCGCCGTAACCGAATCCTAAAACAATCATAATAGTCAAGATTTTTGAAAATGTTCACTGTATGAAGTCCTCTTATTTTTATTCTTACACTTTAAACTATTTGACTGTGTTTTAGTTTAAACTATTTCTTATGGGCCTATCTGTTTGGACCTAAATATTGTGGCAGAATAACACAGAGAGAAAGGAGAGATGACGTACAGTTTAAAATCATCTACATGGATATCTGTATATTCTGTTATGTCCATGGAACTGTTCATGTCTATAGGCGACGGTTACCACTTTCCATCAGGTGGGCTGTCAGTTTATTTGTCATTCTAAGTTGCATAAAAAAATAAATAAAAAAAACCTTGTGTTCCTGCTGCCAACCTGTCGTGTTGTGGCTGTGTTTAATATGAAGTTATAAACCAGTACTCAGGAATAGCGACGCATGAGAGGTACTATAGACATTACAAAGTAATTTTGCGATGTCCATGGTGCTATTAATGTCAATAGGCTATGATTACCACTATCCATTAAGTTGGCCCACTAGTTGTTTGCTATTTCAAATTACATACAAAAAATGTATCATGTTACGCACGTTATCGCGGGTAAGAACTAGTATAGAATGCATTAGTTACCCGAGCCCATGGAGGAGGGTCCACCTGAGCGCGCCGGTTGGCGCGGCTGTGTGCGGAAATCTCTGGCACCGAAACCGCCGCCGCTGCTGCCAAAGCGTCCGCCTCCCGAGCGGCTGCCAGCACGCCGTCCGCCGCCACCAAGTCGGCCATCCGCCGCCGTGCTCGTTAGCCAACTACCGACCGATACATTATATCATTTAGTGTCTTATACTTGCGCCACAATTGTAAATTTATTTAGCACTAAACTAAGCATATAAATTGATAAATTCATTCATCATCATCATAACAGCCGTAAACTGTCCACTGCTGAATATAGGCCTCACCCATAAGGGAGGTTTTACCACTAGTTGCCACGCTTGGCAGGCGGGTTGGCAATTCATAATGTTTTCAGAGGGTCGCCGCTGCCCATCACATAGCCATTAAGTTTCCTTAGTCACTTCTAACAACACCTATGGAACAGAAAGGAGTGGCCCATTCTATGCATTATAATCACATGGCATAATTGTGATTCTGTAATAGAACCAACATCGAGTCTAAAGGTCAGTTTAAAATATTAATGAAAAGAATGGAGAACAGATTAAATTCCAAGTGTTTTAATAAAATTTCTCCCTATCTGCTGTATGATAGTCCTTAGATGCTTTTATAAATAAAATCGTTACAGCAAAGCATTAATATCATATTTTCGTGATTTGCCGGTATCTGCGTTAGTATAACTGAAAAATAGTGTGTATAGAATCAATTACATATCTTGACCTCTCTATGCCATAATTATGTTCATTAAAAGTCGTCTAGATGGTGGAATCAAATAGTTATTTTCAACTTGTGTTCATCATCATCATGTTATGTGAATCTGTTAATTAATGAGTACAAATAAGCTCTATTTGAATATAGAATATGACCCATAAAATCATTTACATCAAAGCACTTACTTGGGAACATCCTGTTTAGCTTCCACCAGTAGCTCAACTAAATCGCGAGCGAGGCCGCGATTAGTGTCGTTGAAGAATGAAGTTGCCACACCAAGGTTGCCCATACGGCCGGTACGTCCGATACGATGCACATACTCCTCCACGTCAGAGGGCAGGTCGAAGTTGATTACGTGACGTACATGTGGTATGTCTAAGCCTGTACAAAAAAAAAATATGTAGACCACTATAATACCAAAATCGGAACAATCAGATAATCGATTTTCATTGGTCATGTATTTTGCAATTGCTATTTGTCACATAAAGATTATATTATTGGATAAATAAGGGAGAAAAAAATTGCAAAAGTAAAGACAAAAAACACTGTTTACTAACATGACCAATGTAAATTGAGCAGAACTGTTTTTTGGATATTGTTAAGAACATAAAACCTGGTTTGTATATATTTCAATCAGCATGCCAACCTGGTAGTGATAGACTAGCGACAACTTGTTGTTTAATTTGGTTTATTAAATATATCCATAACGACAAGAATTAGAAATTTTAATGTCACACAGTTAAGGCGTTTATCAAATTCGAATTCATGTAACGTCATAAATCGTGTTTAATCACTAGATTCACAGTATATAATGTAATAAATGTACATATTTTTATTCAGTGTGCGTAAGAAAGAATGGCACACTGTGTCCGACGTCTCATTCTTTATAATAATTCATTAGGTAAATTCTTAATTTTATATACTGCTAAAGCCTTCCTTTTTTATCTAAATACCTATAAAAGTATATATTCTCACAACTATTATGTACTATACCGCTGTATGATATTTTTTATTTATTCATTAGTATATATATGTGTACATGACAGACTTAATGCTAAAAGCATTCTCAAGATTTTTGATGGTATATAGTTTTTGGAGCTCTATGCATGTTACCACCACTACATGTCCTGTGTAGCCAGGCTTAACGGCGAGCACATTATCGCTGAGCAGGGTGCTTGCAATTCCTGTAAGGATATTGGGGAAATATAAAAACAAGATTTCTGTGAATGTTTGTAAGTTGGAATGTTGCAGAAGTGTTGTCTTACCTTTATTTACATAATTTTCTGAATATGCAATTATCAGTTACTATATAGTAAAAGAAAAAAAAAAATAAAGTAATAATATGCTATGGTAATTAATCTTATATAAAATTTTATTTGGACTGAAAATTAGAATTTGCATATTTAAGTTAGCTGTTAAAGAATAGTTGCTTCGTTGTTCTCCAACTGGTGTGTAATAAATATATATATATTTTATGGTTTGGAAAAGTAAAAATATCTTTCATGTTATAAAAAAAAAGATGACTTCATTTTTCATAGTAGCATATTATTGATATTTAAATATAAAAGTTTGCTCGTCTCATTGTCTTGCTGCTGTGTAAATTATATGAAACTGACATTAGCTTTGATAGGTTATATGTCAATTTCACAAATAGTGTAATAAAAATAAATGTAGACCTTTGTACTGGTGATATAATTATCACAACGATGTTTAGGAGGGATGAGGAAAAGGGTGATATATAATAATTAGTTTAAGCGAATAGGATGGTTACCTCTAGCGGCGACAGCGGTGGCAACGAGTATCGGCGTCTGTCCGGAGCGGAAACGGCGCAGCGCTTCCTCGCGCTCACGTTGCGTGCGGTCGCCGTGGATAGACGTCACCGGGTAGCCCTGCGTATCCAGGTATTCCTCCAATTGGTCCGCGCCTGCCAATATTCAACTATCTTAACATTTCCATACTTAAACTAGACTTAATTTTTTCCTCATATGAAGATAAAAGTGAGATAATGATGATGATGATAAAAATAAAGTTACTACAAGACATTCTATACATAGGTGCTTTTGTTTGCCAATAAACAAACATTTTTTTTTGTAAAAAATTTATTTATTTTTAACATTGTAAAAAACAAATAAACATATTTATTACATCTAATATATTATGAAAAATTAAAAGTATTACTGTAAAAAACACCCACCTTTTTTAGTCTCGACGAATACAAGAATTAATTGATCTTCCTCAGGACGTGCAGTCTGCAGCAGGTTGGATGCATTCAGCAAGTCTAGTAAGAATGAGCGTTTATCGCATTCTTCCACCCATACCACCTACATAAATACAAAGTAATATATAGCATATATATTGTAAAACAAATTAAAAAGAACTTGTTAAAGATTTAGAATAATCAAATAATGCATTTTGAGTGAGGATGGCAAATGACATATTATAATAAAAAATTCACATCTTTGCATCTACTCAAAATTCATGGCGTGAATAAATTATTTTCTTGTATTAGAAAATATAATATTAATTGACTACAAAAGGGAACATGAACATGAACATATAACAAGGATTCTATTTTCTCAAAAAAATCTAATTGAATAAGTTTAGTAGCTATACAGAGCAACCTCACAATGTTATTATATTTTAAAATACTTTACACAATTCATGAATATAAATTATGCATTTATATGCATTATTACCTTTTGTGTAATATTCTCTGATGTAGATCCAACACGTCCTACTGCAAGGAACACGTAGTTATACAAGAAATCCTGCGCCAATACTTGAATCTGTTTGGGGAAAGTGGCGGAGAACATGAGTGTCTGTCGTTCACCCGTCTTGGGCATAGTGTGACACTCGACGATCTTTCGGATTTGGGGCTCGAAGCCCATGTCGAGCATCCTGTCGGCCTCGTCTAGAACTAGATGGCGGCAGTGGTCAAGTCCCACGCGGCCGCGAGCTAGCATGTCTACCAGGCGGCCGGGAGTTGCCACCAGCAGGTGGCAGCCGCGCTCCAGCTCGCGGAACTGTTCGTGGATTGGGGAACCGCCGTACCTGTAGAACGTACATGGTTACTTAATAAATAAGTTCTGGAAGGTAAGGTCTCACAGAAAAGGGCGAGTACAAAAGCTCATGGAAAGATCAGTGTCACAGGTTGTCTCTGTCTGGAGCCTGTCTTTCAATAACAATAAAAGGTTTCACAGCACCATCTAGATCATATCTGAATAGAAATTATAGTATAGGTACCAAATAATGAAAGAATTTTATTTTTTGGTTACATAATAAATGAGACTATCAAGTGTTTTGTGAGTTTGTCATATTCACTTATTTAAATTTTAATGGATAATGCGCAATACATATATTATAAATTAAAAATTATACGTAAATTGTTTATTTATTATTGTTACTTAAATAAATATATTATACAAATATTATAATTATTCTTTAAAGTTACGATTGTAAACCATCACTACCCCAAGACATTCTGAGATAAATTTATTTTTAACGTAATAAAGTGATAATGTAAGATGAATAGAAAAAAAATAATTTTATAAAATAAAATTTGTAAAATACAGATGGAAATGATTAGATTATACCATTTATAATAACGTTATTAAAACAACAAATGGATACTTACACGACACAAGGACGTACACGGGAGCGGTAGGCGAACTTTCTAGCTTCGTCGTAAATCTGAGTGGCGAGCTCGCGCGTTGGAGCCAACACCAAACCCAGCGGGTACTGTTTAGGTCTGTGGTAAGGCCTGCACATCATAATTGATATTTAGTTTTTGTTTTCTTCTGCTGAGATTAGTCAATGTATTATGAGCCCTATGACAGAATTTTTTAACTTATCAACTGTACTTAATTACTGAATGTAACTCAAGAGTTATCAAAGTATTTAAATATATTAAAGTTTCTATAGACGTTGTTACTGTTGTCCATTAACCTACGTCTACTTTCTAAAAACGATCCACACTTAGCATCTCACAAAAAATCCAATTTCAATTGTGACAAAAACAGTTATTTTGATCTAAAAATTAAACTACTGAACCTATTTTAATAAACTTTCTATGGGACCGATCTGTAAGTCCTTTCAGATAATAAAAAAATATATTTCCAAATCAGTTTAGAGCTGAAGAAATTATGAGGTAACAAAGATAAAAAAAAAAAAAAAACAACCAAATTGAGAACCTTTTTGTTTTCGAAATTGGTTGAAAAATATAATATCTATTACATTATGTTACATACACATTTTACTTTTTACTTATTTTTAACACAATATTAAATATTTTTATTACAATTCCTGGATATTAAAGCCATTTATATTTAATGTATTCAATTTTGTTATATTAAGCAAATTAGTATACCAATTTTTTTTAACAATATCTCTAATGTATGTAACAAATGTGCCTATTTTATTTGACTATGAATGGCAACTATAACACTTAAAAACATTGATTACATTATTGTGACCTAATTAAAACATTATAAAATAATTTATATATACAGTAACTACTGTATAGATCAACTAGTTCATTAAATCTACATTGGACTTTAGCCTGCAATTCTTACTAACTATATAAATATGAAACTGTTATTTCTTGGCACATTAGCAACTGAATCAATCATTACGAAATTTTGCATATATTTGACATGGAGAACACAGGGTATTTTTTAAAGCAGTCAATTAGTATGACCCCGTGTGAATATGTGTATGAGTTATTGGTAAACTTTTATAATTTAACACTTACAATTTTTTTATTTCTAGATCCAACGATTTAGAGTAGTTATTATCAGTGTTAAAAAGAGAGATAGTATAGTATAGTAGCTACAAAAGGCCAGAAATCTAAAAATGAGTTTACAAGTTTCAAATTGAGAGATTTTCATACTATCAATCCCTTTTTCCCTGAATGGATTTTCGAAAATCCTTTTGTAGTCTTATACAAAGAATTTACTGTGTATATTTGTTTTTATAACTTCCACACATTCTGCTTAGCAACACTAAATGCTACAAGCCTATAATATAAAGAAGTATGTACAAACCTGGATTGTTTCACAGGCCCTGCCTCATACATCTGATTGAGTATGGGCACGAGGAAAGCAGCCGTCTTGCCAGAGCCAGTCTGCGCGCAGGCCATCACATCGCGTCGGCCCAATACTATCGGAATCGCATACTTCTGCACCGGCGTCGGCTTATCGTAACGCGCGAGAGATATGTTCGAACGCATTATTTCCGTCAGGTTAACATCCTCAAACTGCAACAATATTATTCCTCATTATTTTGGATCATTATACAGTACTGTACAAGGCAAGTAAAAAAAAATGTCGAAGTTTAATAAACAAATACCACCGACTTTTCTATCAAATCTAACTGAGATGTAAGGCATAACCCCTAATATCATAAATGTGAATATTTATAAACATGTTTAATGATAGATAAATTCGAATAAAATTTAGTACAAAAATGGACCATATATAGTGGTACCTCGATATACGAGTGTTTTGAGATACGAGCCGCCGAGCGACCGATGTTTTGCTTTGAGATGAGAGCAAGATTTGAGATATAAGGAATCGCACACTATATTGCTGCACATGACTCCAACATGCGGGATGAATGTTAGTGTCTAACAGTTTCTCCCACCTCAGACTAACACTTAACAAAAACAACTGAGGTGGTTTTTTTGGGAGTACGGATTATTAGCATTTTTAAATTAATTTCAATGGGGAAAATTGTTTTGAGATATGAGCAATTTGACATATGAGCAAGGTTACAAAACGAATTAATCTCGTATGTCGAGGTACCACTGTATTGAATTAACAGAGAAGGTTATGGGGAATAGGAAGGTTAGTAATGAGATCTAATAGGCTCATTACTAGCAATATAACCCAACAGGTTGACCTTCTCGCGGTTGGAAACCATTGTGGTTAATTCTGGATGAATTTATTACAATGAGCCAACTGACCTGTCATCACATCCTCACCTATCATCTTATTTGTGTATATTGTCAGCGATATACACAAATAAAGTAAGTTGTAAAGTAACCTTACAGGCAAGGTTGCCATTCAATTTTCATTTATTTAAAAAAAAAAAAAAAACAAGATAATTCTTATTATAATCCACGCAGGTAAAATCGAATACACATCTCAATTATGATGACAATGACAAATAAATCGTAAAAAAAAACATACGCTTGTAATGTAGTCCGGTACGCGGTCGCCACTGGCCTCAACCGGAATATCCTCGTATTTGGAGAAATTAATGCCTGTGTTCCCAGTGCCAAACAGCTCCAACTCCTGCCGCTCGTCGCGAGGTAGCGGGATTGTCCAGTCGTTCTGTGAAATTATTGATATTGTAATTATAATTTGAAATACTTTCGCTGCTGTTAGATCTTTTTACTTTTGAAATCTATTAGAATTATTAATACTATATTTCTCTATTCATTTCTAGTTGGACTTAACATTCGTTGTTAATAATTACCAATACTTTACCTTACTAATAATACTTTACTTGTGCCAAACTAAACTAATCGAGAAACAACCCTAAAAGTAGAAAAGTGTCGCAAATTATCACATTACCTCGTCCCGGCGGGAGCTTGTGCGGCGAACATCATCGGAAGCCCAACGCGAGTTGCGTTCCTCGGCGCGTGGTTCGGGCTCCTTCCAGCGGTCGTTGCGTGGCTGTGGTGGCTCCACGTCCTCGTCGCGGCGTATATCGCGCGACTCGCGGTCGCGGCCTCCCGAACCTTTTGAACGGTCTGTCCAGCCGGGCTCGGCCCAGCGATCTGAGTCTCCATTTTGGTATGACGAGTCACGACCTAAAAAAAAAAAAAACATTGTACATCATAAACTTAATAGTTTATTAAATAATATGTTTTTGTGCACATATATATTATAGGTTTTTTATTTCACTCTTATGCTACCTATTTGTTCTTCTTTAACCAAAGGTTGTCTGTAACAGATTATCCTACCGATAAGACCGCCTTTTGTATCTTTATGTATATATTTAAATCTATACTTTATGCTACTGTATTTAATTTGAATTATTTATGTGATTGTTTATTTTTGTTTCTGGTGCAATAGAGTTAAATAAAAATAAATAATAAAATTATAAATAGGATCATAAAAAATTTACGTGACTTCTAAAAAGGAGAAGTTCTTGTCAATTCAATGTATTTATTAATGTAATGTTATATCTTCAACTGATCCAAAGTGATTCTGATACGAGGACTACGCTAAAAATTTTTAGAACTGGCTACTTGAAATTATAAAAAAAAAATTGTTAAAATTTTGAAAAAGGAACTCTTTACGAATAATACTGAGTATATAATTTATTCATTTGTCATTTGTTTCACGGTTTGGCGGCAAATTGAAAATAGTCTTTGTAACGTTATCATGAACTTAACACGAGAAAATTTTCTTGCGATGATTTTTTATGACTTTCGATGTCATCTAAGTCAACAAGAAAATTATGATAGACTACGATTGGCCTTTCACGATGAAGCCCCGTCTCGTGCTACTGTTTACGACTGGTTTAATGAGTTTAAACGTGCTGGCACTAATCTCACCGATGATGTGCGTGACGGACGGCCTTCTACGGCGACGACTGAAGGTAACATCAGTGTTGTGCGGTGTATGATAGAGACTGACAAAAGAGTAACCTATCAGCAGATCCTGGCAAGCTTAGGGATTGGCATGAGTCAAGTGCATAAAATCCTGCATGAACATTTGGCGGTCAGGAAGCTTTGTGCCCGGTGGATACCTAATAATTTGACCGAGCCTCAAAAGCTCCGTCGTGTTGATTGATGCCGTGAAATGCATGAAAGAGTTAACGGAGGTGACTCAAATTCTGTGACATAGTTACGGGAGACGAAAGCTGGATTTACTGTTAAGATCCCGAAACTAAAAGACAGTCAGCTCAGTAGGTGTTTCCTTTCGAGGAGTTGCCAACTAAAGTGAAGAGAGGTCGAAGCGTGGGAAAAAAGTTGGTAGCCTCGTTCTTTGGAAGGACAGTAAAAAAGTTACTGCAAAAACAGTTACTGCAGAGTGGTACAGTAACAATTGTTTGCGACGTGTTTTGGAAAAAGTGCATGAGAAACGACTTCGCAATAGGAACCTCCTTTACCACGACAATGCTTTGTCGCACACCGCTAGGCAAACGATCGATTATTTGGCAACCTCAGACGTAGAATTACTGGATAGCCCCGACCTCGCACCTTGCGATTTTTATTTATTCCCAAAAATAAAACTAAAACTTCGAGGAAAACGTTTTATGGACGTCAAGGAAGCTGTGGCTACGTTTCAGAAGGCCGCCGAAGAGATCCCTAAGGACAAGTGGGCAAAGTGCTTTTCTCAGTGGTTCTATCGGATGCAGCGATGTATTGACGTGAATGGACACTATTTTGAAAGGATAAAATAAAAGTAAAAACTTGCTAATTTAATCAGTTTTTGATTTTCTAAGGACTTTCAGTTTGACGCTCGTAATTCTTTTAATTATTTAGCAAAGTTTACTTTTTGTTTTGATGTTTTATATTCTCAGCAGCATAAATTGATTTGAAATCACTACTTTCAACTATCTAGATTGTGTTTCCGTACTACAGAGAGAAAACTATAAGATGACATAATTATTAGCCTCTTGTAGTGTATAAATATTATACAATGCAATATATGAGAATTCTATAACCGAGCTATGGAGTATTCATTTGTCTCCCCAATTATCTTTACATGGCAAACCTGCCTATATATATATATATATATATATATATATATATATATATATATATATATATATATATATATATATATATATATATATTAGTTCAATGTTTAAAAAAAGTGTATCTAGTTTATAAATAATGACAAAATAAAATATTGTTTTTATAGAATAATATCTAACAGATTTATATGTAAAAGGGGGAAAAATATACTCGTATATTTTTCCTATTTGGAACATTTGTAATACATCTTTCTGACATATTTTATAAATTTTACCAACATTTTTTTATAACTGATTGTCGGCAATCGAAATACCGTGTGCCGATAACAGAACAAGAAACAACGGCGTCCCTGTTGTCGGGTCTCTAAATTGGCCTCCGATAATGGAGAGATGTTTAAACTACAGAAACAATGACACGTGGTATTCCTTCTACGTATTTGTTACCATTCGTTTGTTTATAATAAATACGTCCAGTGTGAATTTAGTGATCAGTGTATGATCATGTAGAATTAGGATTATGTAGAATTGAATGCTTCTTTGCATATTTTTTTTTATTGGTGACATAAATCAAGGTGATATAATTCATGTTCAAATTTAAAAGAAAAATGGTTAAAAAAATAAATTTGATAGCTATAGTTTTTTTCTGCAATGGACATTAAAAAAGGTATCCAGACACGATCAACTTAAAGTGAAATTGTTCTTTTACATAATTTTTGGCCATTCAATGTTATAATGTTAATTTCCACGAATATGCAAAGGGTTAAGTCGTGCTAATGAAAGATTCTACGAGAAAGAGAATGCAATAATTAAATGAAGTAATAAGTAATAAAATAAAGAATATGCAATTTTATAAATGGGTTGATTCAAGTAACAAAATTGTCAAGACCGCAAGCAAAGAAAGGGTCTCGAGTGTGCATTATATTAAAAAAATTGCAATGATTAAATTTTTTAAATGATAGATGTGTCATTAGCCTGGTAGACTTCTAATTATTGCCCACAAATGGCCATGTAGGTTTTAAAACAAATAATATTAAGTGACATTTTTTGTATCTATTATATATAAGAATATATTCCCAAATATTTATTACAAATGAATTTGTATGATTTTAATAGTTTTTCCATGAAGCATAGGACGAGATTAGAAAAATGTAAAAAAGATACGATGTAATAGACAATACCTACATGTAAACAAACATAATTAAATGTTTATTATTAATAGTAAGAAACAAATTTTTCTTAAAAATTGAATCAAGTTATTTTTAAAAGTAATAATAATTTTCATTTAGTGAAGTAATTTATTAGACCTTGTGTAATGCTGCGCCAAAATTTTGTTAATTTTTTATTCTTTTAATTTAAAAAAAGGATTTTATTCATTTATAGAAAGAATAAATTTATAAATGTTTTGAATTCTTATTATATAATTAACAAAAAATATTTAATGATAGTGTAAAACAATAGATACATCATCATAATCTAACCAATTATTAATATTACCAGAGAGTTGTAATGTATATAACATGAAACCCTTATAATTTTATTATTTGATGTAATATATGAGCATTCTCTATATCCAAACTACAATCCTTATAATCTTTTGACAATCGTTATGTTGTAGATGAAAATATAAATATACTTTAGTAATACTTGTCAACACACATTTTATTTACATCACATGTTTTACACATATCATTTATCAAAAAATGGAAATGTACTGAATATCAATGAATCAATATCAGTAAACAATGTAAATAATTGCTCAACATTGAATAAACAGCATACTTATTGATAATGCAAACATCTAATTATTAATTAAATAATTAGATTATGTATAAAGTGAAATTGCAAATAAGGATATAGCGACAATTTAGTAAAAACAACAAAGATTGTGTGTGTATGTCATAAGAATAAATAAAAAAGATTGAGTAGAACTAACACTCATGTACATTTCATTGTCATTGCCAAAATGCATTTGTCACTTCAAACCTCACATAAATTCACATTTAATAAAAAAAAAAATATAGATGCGATTCACATACAAGTGACTGAGACACACTCTCAATGCGAAATCTTGAATTAAATAGGATGCGAGTTTTTTTTTTTTTTTTTTTTTTAGTAGTTCACAACACAGGGGGCAAACGAGCATGCGGCTCACCTGATGGTAAGTGACTACCGCCGCCCATGATCACCCACAACACCAGCGGCATTGCAGGTGTGCTGCCGGCCTTTTAAAATAGGAATATACTCTTTTCTTGAAGGTTTATGTTGTCGTATCGGTTCGGAAATACTGCTGCTGGAAGTTGATTCCAAAGAATGGTTGTGCGTGGAAGAAAGTGCCTTGAAAAACGCACGGTGGAAGACCGCCACTCGTCCAGATGATTGGGATGAAACTTTAGTTTGTGGCGGGTTTACGGTGGTGAAAATCAGCAGCAGGTATCAATCCGAACAATTCCTCAGAACACTCCCCATGATAAATTCGGTAGAAGATGCACAGAGACGCAACATCTCTGCGCAGTTTCAATGGGTCAAGTCGGACAGTAAGGCGTTGACTATCGATAATTCGAGCCGCCCGACTTTGAATGCGGTCTAACGGAAGGAGTTGGTACTGTGGCGCTCCTGCCCACAGGTGAGAACAGTATTCCATATGCGGCCTGACTTGGGCTTTATATAATTTCAGGCGGTGTTCTGGCATGAAATATCGTCTCACCCTATTGAGCACTCCTAACTTTTTGGAAGCTATCTTAGCCTTCTCCTCCAGATGACCGCAAAACTGGACGTCGCAAGATATATCAACGCCCAGAATTCCTAGACTTGACTTTTTATCAAGGGAAGTGCCCTGAAAGTGAGGAGATACGACAAACGGCGTCTTTTTTGCGGTAAACGCGCAGACTTGTGTTGTACGCTAATCATCAAGAGTGCCAATGTAGTTATTGTTACTGAATTATCTTGTAGTAGTTCAACTTGGATATATGTTTTTAAGGTTTTGTGACATACCGCGGTCCCTGCGCGGATATCGCGAGTCGTAGCCGCGATCGTAGTCACGTTCGCGGTCACGGTCGCGGTCGTCGCGCCGACCACCACGGTCGTATCCTCTAGAGTTGTTTCCCAATGATGAACGGTTGTCCCGTGAATCGTTAGGACGAGCGTCTAAGCTTGAACGCTTAGACTCCTCTCCTGCAAATAAAATATAAGGGTTATAAAAGTTGATAAACAACTGTCCTTTTTTCCTTTGTAATTGTTTAAAACTTGTTTTATAATGTACCAATATTCAAATAGGACTACTATTACTTAATAATATTCTAAATACACAACAGGGATTTAACGCGACAGAATTGCAGGTAAATAACAGGTAACGACAGGCAGGTAAAGGCGTGGTGCAACCCACGTCGTAATATCGGTAATAAGAATCAGGTACGTAGTTACTGTTTATTTGCAATCGCGTCGCGTTAAGTCCAGCGGGTCTACCATGAAATGAAAATCCGAAGTTTCGGACTCAATTTCGTGTTTTTGTTTTTACCAAAATCGGACCAATAAATGGAGTTTAACATTTCGTTCGTCATAAATCCTACCATAAAAGTCCCAAGGAATAATACTTTCATATTTTTAATGTTTTCAAACGGTAAGTATTATGTAATTTTAACATTAAATTTGTTTCGTTCGGCTCCGAAATTTCGAAAAACATTTCATGGTAGGTAGACCCTCCGGCAGTGTATTTAATTTTTTTTTTTCATTTTTCAATTATCTTATTAGTCTCTTAGCCCCTAATTTATAAAAACTAAAACCTCTTACAAATGCACCTAACTGGTTCGTCACTTTCTTTCAAATTGAGAACTTTGTGTAAAACAAAGAGACGAAACAGTTCAATAGCTAAAATAGGTTTATGAAGAAGTCTGACGTTTTTATGGATGAGTGGCTAATTTTCTTACTTTCTTTTCTTCATCAAAAATTTTATAAAGTTATTTTACAGTTAGAATCTGTAGAATAACTGGATAAAGTATGAAACATATCCTTTTTTACACTTAATTAAATAATTATAATTTTATGATGTACAAGAGCTAATTTATATTTCTTGTTATTTTGTAATTTCTATAATATAAAATAGAAAGCTACACTGTATTTGCATATTAAATTTAGTATTCACTTTATGATAACACTGATAAAACTCAACATAATTTTTTATAATCTCATTAAGCTAGTGTACAATGAGGCAGATTATTCAATAATTATTTAGCTTTTAAAACTATTATTTTTATGTGACAAACTATGTATACTATGTTATATATACTAAGTTTACAAAGTCCACTTTGTAAACTTAGAAAATTAGAGAATGATACACAAAATTTTTACCAATTGTATGTTTGTACAAATTATAATGCATGTAACAAACACTTGTTAGTATGGCATAAAAAGTGGTATGGAAGAAGGGGAATTTAGAGAAATTTGATGTAAATGTGAGGCATATGTGTTTAAAGGTGCAATGAATTATTATACTGTCAAATATATATGATCATATATAAATTTGTATGGGTACTTTTGTATAAACAAGTAAGTACCAGTAATATGATTAGTAGCCTCTTCAAAAACATGTAGAAGCCACTGAAATCAATGTTATTGCTAATAGTAATAGAAAAGTACTATTTTTTTGTTGTAAACTATATCTTTATTACTGATATTACGTATCAAAGGATAATTGAGAATAAAGTTTAAAAGGTACATAGATATTTTTGTAACATACTTAAATATTAAAATAAAAAATAATATAACTAGTAAAATCTATATAAATATATCGATTTCATGAGAAATTATTCAAGTAAAAAAATCATCAGTAATCGTTAAGTTAGTGACACTTTTTCAATATCAATATAACATTTAAACATATCATATAATTCATGAATAAGAAGTGATATAACTTACAGTCTCTCAACTTATGACTCATATATAAATAGAAACTCTAGTTAACTACTTTCAACTTAAGTTTACTACTTAACAAAGACAAAAATTATATCAAAGAACTTCACACAGAGAAAACAATGGATGACCATAAACTTTCATACAACCTTAATATATTTTAGTGTCTATTCATATATAAATTTTGTAAGTACATAATTACTATTAATTATAATCATAACACATTAACAACACATGCTTCGCATGTTAAGTCATGGCCTTTCAGGATTAAGTATTCTGGATGATTGTAGTAAGCAAGTATTCTTGACAATAATATCAATAAATTACTTTTAAAGTAACATCTTTACACAAATATGAATTTTGACCCATATATATATATATATATATAATTGTAAATTACGCACTTATTATATAATAATAACAATTTTGAGGCACAGTATAAACTATTTAATTTTAAATCTACAATATTTAAAATGTTGTATTTTGAAACCATAGTTAAAATTATATTTCAATTTTGTTCGCGACATTATTTGTATATATCGTAATTTATAGTTGTTAAGTCCTAGTTAATCGTTTTGTATTCTGTTATTTTATATAGATTTACATAGATTTAAGATAGTGTAAGTTAAATAAAGTATTCCTTTGTGTATTGTCCTTATTACCTACGAATAGAAATAGAAATTGTAACAATAAATAGAATTAAGAAATTGTAAATTGCAATAAATAGACGCTATAGAGTACCGATCTGAAGAGACACGCGTCTCGTTCATTCTCGCCCCGTCCCGCTCGCACAGATCGCTAACGCGAGTTGGAAATGTTATCGTGCGAGCGGGCGGGTATAAAGATAGGCCGCCTCTCGTCGAGCGGCATTCGCTTCCGGGCAGCGACACACTACACTCGAGAAGAAATAGGACAAGAAGAAAAAATACTCTCTTCAGACGGTACCGGAGGCTTCAGAATAGTAATCCCTGTGTTTCACTCCAGCCTGAACCAACGCCCCTACAGTCCAAACTCACCGAACGGCAGTCCACACCGTTCATCGTGGTCCTTCGAGAAGCCGGATTGCTGGAGGAACACCGTGGTCCTTCGAGAAGCCGGATTGCTGGAGGAACACCGTTGGTACATCGAGAAGCCGGATCGCTGGAGGAAGACCATTCTGAAGCCGGATCGCTGAAATGCCGACTACGAGAAACATGAAGTCGTCGCAACAAAAAATCGCCGTCACCGAAGCCACAACGTCCGCCGCCACCACGTCGACTACGGCCGCCGGAACGCTGTCCGTCGCTGCCACGCCGTCCGTTGCTGCCACCACGTCGTCTGCGGCTGTCAGAATGCCTTCTGTCGCTGCCACGTCGTCTACCGCCGCCACCACATCGACTACGAACACGTCCGGCGATACGACGACCACAGGAGCCACGGAGACTACCGAAGCCACAGGAACGACAGAGGAGACAGCAAGGAAGAAGGAACCGAAGCACGGCACGGCACGCACGGTTCGCACCACGGCCTCGCAGAAGAAGAAGGCTCTGGCCAAGGCACGGGAGGAGCTACTTCGAAAGGAGGTGGAATTGGCTGCTGCACGTGTCGCCGCCCTGGAAGCCGAATCAGAGGACGACGAGGAAATAGAAGACGACGACGCTACCGTCAGAAGAGAACGAACGTCGGATTGGGTTCGTCGAAGCACGCTGGCACTCACAATGGAGCCGCATGTACCAGAGATAGAAGAAGTCACCGGCAAGCGTCAGGGGTTCGTCCCATCGAGACCCGTTGAAGAGGATTCGAGAGCGCCGCCGCCACAGCCGAGCAGCGACGCACTTCACCGGGACCACGCACGCCACGTTGACCCACATGCCGCCATGCCTACGATAGCAGCAGCGATGCAGTCGATGAAGAAGGAAGAACCGGTGCTGAAGGTGGGCATCGATTGTAATGAGTTTGCGATCGCCATGCAGATGGCCGCTCGCAACATACTGCCCTCCACAGCGTCAAGAGTCACCGAGTTGCCAGTCTTCAATGGATCGTCGAGCGAGTGGTTACCATGGAAGATGGCCTATGAAGAGAGCGCAAGTCAACTCACAGAACAAGAGAACCTAGCAAGACTGCGCAGAAGCTTGAAGGGGGCCGCAAAGGACGCGGCACGCTCCCTATTCGTCGGGTCTACGACCGCAGAAGAAGTAATGAAGATGTTAGCCGCGAGGTTCGGCCGCCCTGGAGCACTCGTCACAGCCGAACTGAACAAACTCCGCGCGCTACCACGACTCTCGGACAACGCAAGAGACGTCTGCCTCTTCGCAAGCAAGGTGCAGAACGTCGTCGCCACGATACGAGCGCTGAACAAGAGTCACTACCTCTACAACGAAGAAATAGTGAGAAACGTCACAGAGAAGATGCCGTCGGTACTACGCTTCAAGTACTACGATTTCGCCAACGACCAACCGGAGGGACAACCGGACCTCATAACACTCTCTCAGTTCCTGCAAAGGACCGCCGCACGATGTGGAAACTTCGCCCCCGCCGAGGAGATACCGTCCGAAGACCGGCGGGAGTCCGCTCCTAGGAAGACGGCGAAGACATACACGACGCAGGAGAAACCCGCTACACCACCGTGCCCGATGTGTCGACGAGAGGGACACGCTCCATCGGACTGCAAGACGATGAAGGAAGCAGACACATCGGCGAGATGGGAGTTAGCGAAGACTCATAGGCTGTGTTTCCGCTGCCTCAAAGTAAGAAGATTTCGCCACGCCTGCAAGAGCAAGAGATGTGGAGTGGATGAGTGCACGCAGACTCATCACCCTCTGCTGCACACCACGCGACAACAGCCGGAGAATGAAGTAACGACACACGTCGTCGAGGACAAGTCCGCCGCAGTCACCGCATCGGCAAGGGAAAACGACAAGATCGCGTTCCTGAAGATCCTGCCGATACGAATCACCGGTCCCACGGGAACGTGCGACACCTACGCGCTACTGGACGACGGGTCGACTTGCACCATCATCGAGACGACGGTGGCGGAGCGAATCGGTGCTACGGGTCCCCCCGCACCATTCTACATGGAAGGTGTGGCCGGGGCACGGATCAACGCAGCTCAATCGACGCGTGTTCACTTCAAGATCCGCGGGCGGAATTCACAAGAATACACAGTGGGGGCACGGACGATGGACAGACTGCAGTTATCACCGCAGTCGGTACCACGCAGCGTCATCAAGGGCTGTCCACATCTACGAGACATAGAGAGGGAGTTGGTCTATGAAGAGGGCAAACCGACGGTACTGCTGGGGCAAGACAACTGGCACCTACTGCTGGCCCACGAAGTTAGAAGAGGATCCGACACGCAGCCGGTCGCATCACTCACCGACCTGGGATGGGTACTGCACGGTACGAGTCGCGGCAGGACAAGACAGCAGGTGCACAGAATCAGCCACATAGTGACGACACATGAAGAGGAACAATCGATGGAAGAAATGATGAAGCAACATTTCGCGCTCGAATCGCTGGGAATCGCACCGAAGAGGTCTTACAATGAAGAGGAACGTCGCGCCCTACGCATCTTAGAGGAGAAAACTCGTCCGTTACCGGCGGGAGGATACGAGACGGGGTTACTATGGAAGAAGGACGACCCTGTGCCGCCGGACAACTACGAATCGGCAATGCGACGTCTCCAACTGGTCGAAAGGAAATTCGACAAAAACGAAGAACAGTGGCCGCGTGAAGATAGTACGAGCGACGATAGTCAAGCGGAAACGGGAGAAGAACGCGTACACAAGCTACAGAACGCGACGCAGTTGTCTATAGCATTACCCGATCCGTCACGTTTTTCTAATTGGTTGAAACTTGTTCGCAGTTCAGCACGGGTGTTGCAGTTCATCGACCTCCTGCGACCGACCCGTCAACGCTGTACCGCCATCCGAAAGAGGAACAAGAAGAAAGAGAGCGCCGACCCCACTTGGACCCGCACGAAGAAAGTCGATAGAGAGAAGACGAAGATGAAAATCAAGAACAGCAATAGTCCATCTGTGTGTTTCATCCCCATAGACACACACTACCTAGATCGCGCGCGACGGCTATGGATTCGCGCGATACAACAAGAGGCGTTCGGCGACGAAATCGCAGTATTGAAACAAGGGAAACAGCTGCCGTCATCCAGTCGACTCATACAGCTGTCAGTCGTCATAGACAACGACGACATTCTGCGACTTCGATCGAGAATAGCAGCCGCCGCCGATCTGTCAGCCGAGCAACGAGAACCCCCATCGTCGACGGAAACCACGCCTGGGTGCGCCTATACATCGCATGGGTGCATCGGAAACTTCACCACGGCGGCTTCGAGATCACCACGAACGAGGTGCGACAACACTTGTGGGTGTTGCGCCTACGACACGCCGTCCGCAGTGAACTGAAGAGGTGTCAGCTGTGCCGCCTACGAAGAGCAAGACCGGCGCAGCCGTCAACGGGCAACCATCCACAGAGCAGGCTGGCGCATCATCAACGACCGTTCACGTTCACCGGCCTAGACTACTTCGGGCCTATGACCGTGACAGTGGGCCGCACTCACCAGAAACGATACGGAGTGCTCTTCACCTGCCTAACGACGCGCGCAGTCCACCTAGAAATCGCCGGCAGCCTCAGCACGGACTCCGCCATAATGGCCCTGCGGCGCTTCATAAGCCGCAGAGGGTGTCCCACGGAATTATGGTCCGACCAAGGCACCAACCTCAAAGGTGCTGACGTCGAACTGAAGAAAGCAGCCGAGGAAGCCATCCAAGAAGAGTCATCAGTCCGTTTCATCCGGTGGCGCTACATTCCCCCGAGCGCACCCTTCATGGGAGGTGCGTGGGAACGGTTGGTGCGTAGCGTGAAGACCGCACTAGCCACCACGTTGAACGAGCGGGCGCCCAAGGAAGAGGTCCTCCACACTCTGCTGGTCGAGGTCGAGCACACCCTCAATAGTCGACCGCTAACCCACGTGTCAACATCGGCAGACGACGACAGCGCCCTAACCCCCAATCACTTCATATTGGGCGGTCCATCGCGCGTCCCACTGCCAGGCAGCTTCACAGAGAGCGACGCGGCGGGACACAAGGAGTGGCGTGCCAGCCAGAGGCTAGCTGATTGCTTCTGGAACCGGTGGGTGAAGGAGTACCTACCCGAGTTGCAACACCGGCGGGAGCCCCGAGCTACACACGGAGCCATCAAAATGGACGACCTGGTCCTGATAGCTGATGGGACCTTGCCTCGCAACACGTGGCCGCGAGGCGTGGTGGTGGCGACCTACCCTGGACCAGACGGCGAGGTTCGAGCGGTCGACGTGCGGACGAACAAGGGCATCCTACGGCGACCCACTAAGAAGCTGATCATACTGCCCACATCGACATCGAGCGACGCGAACACGAGTTAACTCCAGCTACGAGAGCTGCGGCGGGAGATTATGTTCGCGACATTATTTGTATATATCGTAATTTATAGTTGTTAAGTCCTAGTTAATCGTTTTGTATTCTGTTATTTTATATAGATTTACATAGATTTAAGATAGTGTAAGTTAAATAAAGTATTCCTTTGTGTATTGTCCTTATTACCTACGAATAGAAATAGAAATTGTAACAATAAATAGAATTAAGAAATTGTAAATTGCAATAAATAGACGCTATAGAGTACCGATCTGAAGAGACACGCGTCTCGTTCATTCTCGCCCCGTCCCGCTCGCACAGATCGCTAACGCGAGTTGGAAATGTTATCGTGCGAGCGGGCGGGTATAAAGATAGGCCGCCTCTCGTCGAGCGGCATTCGCTTCCGGGCAGCGACACACTACACTCGAGAAGAAATAGGACAAGAAGAAAAAATACTCTCTTCAGACGGTACCGGAGGCTTCAGAATAGTAATCCCTGTGTTTCACTCCAGCCTGAACCAACGCCCCTACAGTCCAAACTCACCGAACGGCAGTCCACACCGTTCAAATTTAATAATTTCACTTTCAAAATTGTAAAATATAATCACCTTGAGAGTTGTTGGCCAACCTACGCAGATGCGGGGGGATGTAGCGGCCAGCACTCTTAGGAGCCTGAGGCTGCAAGTCCAGACCAGCAAGCTGCAATTACAATAAACATTATTTACTAAGGCTTACTAACAATTATAAGAAAAAGTATAGTAGTTTATACTAAAATTACATATAAATGTCAATATGAGAAGTTGTTTAATTATTCAATGATACATACAAATTTTTATTGTATATATCAATCCTCTAAATTAACACAAAGAATACTCTTTAATCACAGCAAGTAACAGAAACCCCAAAAGAAAGTTAATGAAAAAATCTAAAAAAAAAAAGGTACCAGAATGATAATAGAATTATGAAGGACAATAGATTCTAATAGTATGAAGTAAGATACACTCTGTGACTACAGAAACAAAGTGATGATGACATAAAGGACAATACTTTTCTAGATTGTTTTTCTATATTATGTTGGTAGATATATGTATTATAAAAGATATTAAACAATCATGGTTTATTTTTCGAAAAAAATTCCTCTCATTCATAAATAAATTGCAATTTTATGGAAAATATATATCTACCAACACAATGAAATATGACTAAACAATTGTGAGTTGATAAATTTTAATTCATTATTACATCTTAAATTGATTAAATCAATATAACTACTCTTTAAAATTAGATACAATGCACTTCACCTATTGAAAGAGATTTAAGATGGAATATAGTAAGTCAAACATGGTACATGTTTAATGGTATAAATAGCTACCAAGGATAAGTCACCTATGTATGCATTATTTGTAATAAGTAGTTAACAGTAAGAGTACATTAGGTATGTATTTACCGCGAAATACATCAGACTATCAACTGTATCAAAGAAAATGGAATTACCACTGAAGCATGACCAAATATTTATTATATCATGGTAATTATAATTAGTGTGATTTGAATGGAATTACAGATTTACATCAAAGATAACCTCCTTGTGCTTTAGTAAAATTAATTATTTAACTAATTAGACATACCTATTCTGCGTACTGCGAAATGTTAATTCCTCCCGCCATGACACGCATATACAGCGTGACAATGACCTCACCTTTGTTAAGACTTAGGAAAACTACCACGTTACTTATGTGCTATAAACAGGACTACAAATCTTCATGTCTAAGCAAATACCATAGAAGTGGAGAACCCAGTCGCCATGTTGGTTAAATCCAAGACACGTAAAGTATAAGGATTAAGTAGTACTTTCATATATAACAATCTAATTTTTTCATGAATTACATCAATTTTCACGACGTTACATGGTTAATAATATAATACTTTCCTACATATATTTCTATTCAACTTGTTAAAAATCAATAAAAAGTGTATGTACATGAGGTACCGACCTGCTGCTCTAGACCTGTTCCATTTTGGTTGGTAACATTACTCATATTACTACCAAGCAGTACGTTTTTTTGGGAACTTTTCTCCAAAAATATTTAAAAAACACAATAGTCTACAATGAATTTTGCACAAACACAAATTCACAAAAATCACATGAAAAGACTTCAATTTTTCTCACCGAAATCACTTTTCATTCGTAGTTTTGTTCTTACTTACTTCACAGATTTTTTTCTTTGTTGTCTATGTCCATTCGTTCGTTTCAAACATAGACCAAGTATTTCATTCAATGTAAATATTCGGATCTTAATTCGAGTTATAAATCGAATTTGGTATTAATATTTCAAATAAATACTCATAGAAAATAAAATGTAATATTAAATGTTTATATATATATAGTGGTGTATAGAATTTTAAATTTCCATTAAGTATTGTTTTGAGTACGAATCTAATAGTAATAATTTATAATTTCTGCCCGCGACTACATCAACGTGATTGGAATATTTAAACGGATCGTGATATACATTAGCCTCTGTTCTTTATATATATATATATATATATATATATATATATATATATATATATATATATATATATATATATATATATATATATATATATATATATATATATATATATATATATATATATATATATAACGTGTATAACATTAGTTAAACCATTAAAGCACTAAAATATTTCACATTTATAATATTAGTAAGAATTAGGATATACCTCTTCTGAAAAAGATGTACACGAATCTATCGATATAATTGTTTCAGTCAGCGGTTGTATCAGAATGAATAAAATATCGCATATCATCATTTCGTTTTCTCTCATTAACTGGTTTGCAATAACGATTTTATCAATTAGTTTTTTATTTTTGTCTAACGGGTTTGTTCTTTCTAATCAATTTTTTTTACCATAGACATATTTAAAAATAAGTTAATTTCATAAGTTTAGTACTATCTTTAATCTATGATATATATATTGAGTCTATAACTAAGAACAACGAATTATATAGAAGAAATAATAAAATAAAAACTGTAAATCATATAGTTGCCTTCTTTCTTCTTATGCAAATGTAATTAGTAAAAAAAGGACGAAAGATACACCATCAGTTGCTATTTTTCTCAATTTATACCAGGCTAGTGTATGTAAAAGTTTTGTTTATTTACGTTACTAGATTATATATTCAACACAGTTTATGTAGAAAGTATGCAAGCAGGTTGTATCTGAATTTCGTGGGGTTATACAGCAATGAAACCAAGTGACATAATAAATCTGACCTCGACGGATTAGTCAAAGGCAGTGCGTTTTTATATGTTTATCCCTCTCTAACGCATTGGCAATTTCATAAATACAACGAGCAACACACTATGTGAGTTATGCATTTTATCTATTCTATTCCGAAATCATTAATCTATAATTTGAATCTATTACTTTACAGCAGCTGTCACATGCATCTAGTGATGTGTAAAGTCGACGTATTTTAGTATTTGAGAGTTTTGGTAAGTTCCTTTTAAAAAAAAAAAACATTTAGTATTGACTCGAATCTAAAGACTCAGCACAGTACTTTTATGGACATAGTCATCCAACTCATATATTTTTCAACTGATTTTGAAGTTCATTTTTTACAAAGACATACTAGTATAGTATTATAAATTACAATAAATATGCGACTAGTATTTGAGTACTGCAAGGTCTTAAATCTTATATACTCGCAATATTCTATACTTAAATTCAGTATATTAAGTGCATGAATATTTATTAGTTACTAGCTTGCTACTTCGTACGCATGGATTTCAGAAGTAGGAAAATGAATTCAATAAACCACTTTTAGATGATGTATCAAGATAAAACGAACATCAGATTTTAAATTAGACTTTCAAGAATACAAATGTGAAAACCGCATCCAATTTGGTGTAATAGTTTTTGCGTGATGTCAGAACAAATCTGCATACAGACAAAATTTCACAAACTTAATGTTTTGGCATCTATAAGTGTTATTTAGAGTCTTTATATTAATTTTTACTAACTAACATCGTCTAACTACAATTTTATAATATTATTAATAAGATTAGTAAGATAAGATTTGGGTACGTACTCGAGTCAACTTGACCATCACACTTTATGGACATCACTATATCTACATAATCTCTGTGATAATTTTGTTATTTTTTTGTTCTTGCGATTTTTAAAACTATTTAATATCTAATTTTAGCAACAATATAATTTTAAGTGTCTTTTAAAAGGTATGTGATAACTTATAGTACATAATTACTTAGGTAAATAAGTACTAATAGTAAGTATTTTATATTTGAAGAATAGTACGTTTTTGATATTTGATACGTTCTTTGCCTTATGACGCAAATTTAGGTTCAGTCAGTAATAAGTATTTTGTTTTCATAGATTTTTATTGCACGAGACTTGAACGGCATGATATTTGTATTTTAGGTGGGGAATTTAAAATTATATTTAAATATACAAGCATCTACCTATCTTAATACCTAATTACACAGTAAGTATCAATACTTACTGTCGGGTGATGATCATACTAGATAGGGATGTAATCTGAGGCCAATTTGAGATGGATTAATCGATTAATCGATTTTTATGTCTGAATAAAAACGTATAATTAATTGATTTATAGCGTTTAGTCGATTATAAATTATTTACAATCTTTCATTTATAGCCTAATCTTCCGCCGCTGAATTCTGCATGCATAAAAATTTGTAATGAAACTTGGTTTAACCCTACAATGCATGATTTTTTAAATCTGGTCAAAAAAATATTTGTAGTTCCATATAGTGTCTAGACGTAATAAATGATAATAATAACAATTAAAATTCATTGATTTTGTAAATATTTATTTTTTCTATTCTGTTTCATATGTGGTACAGTATGCATTAACACTAATATTTGGCTTTTAATATCATATATTTAGTTTTACATTAAGAATAGCTCTACTAATGACTGAAATTTATTAAAACAAATATTGTCTTTATTCAAACAAACATAACACAAAACTTAGCAAAAAATATATGTTTTGCCTTTACATTGGGGATACTTATAGCGTTGTCTCTTCTTGTTCCATGTAGGAAGATGATCTAATTTATCGAATCTCGAGGGGGAAGTTTTACTGCATTACTTATTTTCTTCTTCTCAATCATGTCATCTGTGGCAGAAGACGGTCTTATTCTTTTTTTTTTTTGTAACGATGAACTATACATACGAGGTCTTTTAGCGATTTCCAGTTTAAAATCTTTTAATTTAATCTGAGTTGGCTCTGATAATCATCAGGCTCATTATTCTGTTCTCCTACCTTTTTGTGCAGTAGCCAGCAATTTATGGTGGCAATGTCTAGAAAATGTTAAAACAAACGCAGATACCATCTTTTAGTATGCATTTTTATTTTATACTTTCCAAGAAAGGTCTCCAATAAATCTCTCGCCATACTCTGATTATATGTAGATTTTTACTATTTTAGGACAATCCCCTTCAATGTACTTTTTTTGTTTTTTTTGCAATACCGTCTAACCTTTTTAATGGGATGTTGTCATACAAAAGATGAGGGCAAAACTACAGATTTTTTATCATACCACATTACTGTGCCAACTTCTGTGCTATCTACATCAGCTACCCAATCTTCTGAATGGCCTCGTTCTGTTTTAGTACCCTTCAAGTCTTTCAGGGATGATATTTTCAAATCTTTGTCTAGTCGGCCTTTGTTGACCTATTAATTTTTTTTCTTTCTTTTATTATTAGTTACATTTTTCGTAATTCGATTTTTCTGACTGACATGGTGAAAAAAACTACTTTGGCGTCATGACGTACTTGGCCCTGAAATGCTGGCTTGAGGATTTGTTGATTTTTCATTCGCATTTTTAGCAAAGGTAGTAAGGGAGAGGGAGACTTTGTACAAATGTCGATTGCTTGGGTACCTCTGTCCCGTTCGTGTTTCAATCGTGAAGCAGTTGTGTTTGCATGGCTGTGTTTCGGTTTGAAGGGTGGGATATGGCGTGAATTTACTGGGTACAGAGGAATAACATTTGAGTCCTCAGGAATGGCAACGCATGGGGGGTATCATGGGCGAAACAGTATACTCTGTTATGTCCATGGTACTGCTCATGTCTATAGGCGACGGTTACCACTTTCCATCAGGTGGCCCGTCAGCTTGTTTGCCATTCTAAGTTGTATAAAAATAAAAAATAAAAAGTACCACAATTAATAGAAGAAAATGGTGCATACCTGGTAGGCTCAATATAATTTTAAGAGTCATTATCTTCATTAATTTGGTGCAAGTTTTCTCTGATTTTCATTATGTTATCATCATTTTCTGCTCCCGAAAAGCCTTGACCGTCTTCATTCCCTGACGGTATACCTAAATACTGCTTAATCAACTCTTTAGATAATACTTTCTTCACCATAATCTGTAATAAAATCCAACCAAAAGAAAGTGTAAGAAGTGAACTAATGCATGATATGCCATATCTGGTAATCTTAAATAAGTTGATATGTTAGAACATAAAACAGTAATATTTGAAAAATTTCTTCATTTAATATACACTATTTTCAATGTAAATGTATTTTTACCGCTTCCAAATATTCAAAAAACTATTTTTTTTAAGAATTTTCTATTTACTTAAACCACGAGTTCGCGTCGATATTTGAAAATGTGTACGAATCAATATCAATCGATAGCTAACACGTACTGGTGACACTTGCCATTACTAAACCGTTGCCAAATGTATAAAGATTATTCCGTCGTTCGACAAATGATGCTAGGTGTCTTTAAACGAACAGTAGACTTAATTAATTTGATTTGACCAGATATGGTACAGAATGCAATGTAGGGTTAAATGAAACATTGTTTCAGATTAAGCTATCCTTTTGACTCTTCATTCAGAGGTGAACTTTTTTTCAAAGTTGTTTTAACTTAATAAACAACAATCGCCACCTGCCACGCACGCGCAGTGACGCTCACAATACAGCGATGAATCGCGCTCATGAATAAGGGTTTCTATTGAGATCGGTACTAGTTGGGCATTCCGAATTTAAAACGAGAGTAAAGTCGACATTAATAAATACAACTATGCCAAGTTTCAAGGTTTTAGTCTTGGATCACTTTTCTCTATTATGGTACCGTTAGTTAAGATGAGCTAGGTTGGTAGTCTGTATAATCATGTTGTAGAATGGGTCCACCAGCACCCCGTGAGCGCCAGCCGCCACCGGAGCCCCGAGTGCGACAGGCACCTCCGCCTCCGCGCCGGGCCACAGCCCAACCTCCTCCACTACCAAGGGAGCGTCAACCACCACCTCAGCCCCGAGACAGAATGCCACCACCACCACCAAAGTCTTCACATACTTCAGCTTGATAATTTCAATATGCTTTATTTTTGACATGGCTAATTATTTTAAAATTGTAGACTGATATTTAAGGAAATTACGTTTTTTACAAAGATTATTAAGCTTTATTCATTATTCATATTATATTCTGAAATTGTAAACTATGTAAAAGTCATCATCACCTCGGCATTATTCTATTATATGTATCTTCATGCTTCTACTACATGAGTAAGGACTATCTATTATCATTTAATATAAAAAAAATCTTATTAATTCTAGAAAACTTGCATTAATTTTTATGTAACTGGGATGGTGCTATCCGCAGGGACAAGTCTAGCAGTTTTGACACGATATATATACAAATATAGTTCGTGTAACACTTAAATAAGATAACTGAATTGCATGGTTGACTATCAGTTTAATACATTCATAAGTGGGACAGAGATAGGTACCAGTATAAGTTTTGTCATTCATGACTTTCATGAAATACCTACATATCTTATATGTATATAAAAGTTTCGTGTCACTGTCTTTGTGGTTAACTTCCCCGAAACGGATCGACCAAATTTTGTCATTTTTTATGTATGTCTATTTAATAGTATGATACTAGTACGTAAAGTATATTTAGTAGTATGTAAATGATAAAGGTGCCTCTATCCAGAAAAAAAATTATGACAGAACAATGTTTGCCGGGGCAGCTAGTAGATGAACTACTAGTTTAATTAAATTAATCTTAACGTTTTTAGTGTCACCTATGAGTATTAATAAAATATGCATTTTTAGAAAATATTGTGCTGTAGCGGAGAACGTTTGCAGTGTGCATTATAGTCTTTAAATCCTATATATAGGTATATATCTGCAAATTTTCACACGACTTTTTTCACATAATTCTGTAACCATGAAAATCTAATATTTATGTATTAAGGTAAAATCAAAAATAATAAAAAAATATATGGCACAATTTTCTGTGCGTAATTTTTTATTATTTTTTATTTTCAATACGTGATAAAGATTCGTAGTAGGTAAGAAGGCTATATACAATTTCCTCATTAAACTTCAGCAAAAGTTGTTTTCTTGGGCATCTCTTCAATTGACGTTTCTGTTCGCCAAACAGGCATCGCTATGTTTCAATTTGGAAGGTGGAAATGGCAACGAAATTATAGAATAAGACATAACATCTTAGACCTTAGGAATAGTAACGCATGAGAGGTATCAGGAACATTACAGTGTACTCGTATATTGTGATGTACAAGTACGTTGCACGAATCGTGTCTATTGACGATTTTCATTCCCATCAGATGGTCTGTCAGCTTGTTTATTACAAATTAAAAAAGAATAAGAATTTTCACTAATGATAAAACCTACATATTATAATTTGACAATGTACGTTGTAATTGGTTGTAAGTTTCAACATATTGCAAAGAGGTTACATGCTGCTATAAACTGTTCTCTAATACCTTGGCGCCCTAAATACGCTGAGAACACGTTAATTGGTATTTAGATCTTAAACTCTAATTTGAACCAGAACTTGTTAAAACAGAAAAATCACATTTGACAACAACTGAATATTTGATTAAACATTGAAAGTGAATTTAAAGTAGGTCTAAATAATTTTACTTGTCAGATTGTTAAACGACATCAGTTTTTACGTATATATATTTTATGTAATTTTGATAATACTTTCTTATTTTTAAGAGATTTAGAAAAAATAATTGTAAAATAATTAAAACTTGATGATTTGTTCAACAGAGCACACCTGTACATAAATTAGGTAGGTATACCTAATAAGTTAAATAGATTGTTAATGGTTAACCAAAATTTTATATAAGTACTGAATATTGTTAATTTTTTATGGTTATATAGTCGTTTTTAATATCAAAATATAATTGTATAAGTATTTGTGTAAAAATAAATATATAATTTCATACTTTGTTAATATTCATTTTTATTTCTTTATCCTGAGAACTATCAATATCTGTTCTATTAGACAAAAACATAAGTAGCGTTGGTTGGTTTTTAAGCGATTATTAAGAAGCTTTTATTTCATTTGATATTTTGTTAATTTTGCACGATTAAGTTACCAACTCGAAACCGATTTTCCGAATACTTTTTGCATTTGATAAGGTATACTCCTATACTATCATTTACTATAACGTACTCTATATATATGAATGATGAGAAAAATGCCAGCTTTAATGAGTTCGCATTTTTCTTGTAGAGAAAAAAAAAAAAAAAAAACGATGCGTAACAAAATATATAAACACACGGTTCCACGGTTTAAATTAAAACAAATAGAAACTGTTTTTTTTTGGAGCAATATATTTATATCTACTTCTTAACGGGTGAAGATGGAATGGTATCTGCCATTAGCACTACAATAGAATTGCTGGGTCCTAGTGAACTATATGTTCGTTACTGCACGCATTAAGTACAATTACAGATCACAAAATTATACCAAATATACTGCATTGCTTTGGCACCCTTCTTACAACACGAGAGATATTGTAATAGACATTGTACTAGCTGTCTTATCCTTCAGATTAAAATAAATCAACGCACACATTGCTGATTCACGACTGAAATAGGTAAGGTGTGAATATAGCCAAGAATAAATGGTATAGTACGCGTGTATGATAAGAATAATGATAAAAATAATATTATATAGGTAGGTATAGATGACCACCTGGAGTACGCAGAATATAAAATATTTGTTGGCAGTAATTTTGGCTGATAAAATGTAGACTAATCATAAAAAAAATATATTATCTATCAATTATTTGCGTCAATTGCACGGGTTTCCTTTGTGTGGGCGAAGGATGTTTGCCATGAATTTAGTAATGATAATCTCAGTCGGTCCGGTGCAAGTCCACGAGGATAATGTTGCGAATTATTTGTTTTCTTCTATTGTTATTAATAACAATTGCATTATCTGGGCCGAAACTGCACTATCGAGAGGAGATGCCAAAGGATATCGATGAAGAGATTGTGATAAGAAAGGATGTAGAGGATTCTCCGGCATGGTTGGAAGGTGGCGGATGTCCTGCTGGTTACAAGAAAGACTTTAATGGCGTTTGCCGAGAAGTTTGGTACGATGATTACATATATTAGATGCTGATATCAATAAAATATTTATCAACACTTTTGCTTTTGTTTCTTCTGAGTTACATCTATTTATCCTACTTTAACCTTAGTGTAACATTGACCATAAATAGTTTTTTTGGTAGGTAGGTACTTAAAATAATAAGTATGGCGTATTTGCAGTTTATTTGATACACTCATTACTACAGTGTTAAAAGTGCGCTGAAACGCTTAAAACCATATAAGTGCATCATGACGGCTAAATGGCCCGTAATTTTGTTCAGTCAAAAAGGTAGCCTAACCACTTCACTCCAAATACCTATTAGTTAAACTTATTACGCTATAGATAGACACTAATTATGTAGGTACCATATTAATAGAATAAAATTGTAACTAGACGTCTATACATGAGCGATATTTAAAAAATATAATATAAGGGATTAATAAGGGCAATCGTAGCTAAAACAATAGTTTTATGAAATTTTGTCTGTCTATCTTTTTATTTTAGTATCATGCAAAAATTACTACATCAAATTGTATACGCTTTTTACAGCTGCGTCCCGGAAGATCTATTTTAAAATCTGTTGAGTGTTTTATCGTGATACATTATTTATTTTTCTTTTTCATTCATCTGAAATCTACGTGTAAGAAGTAACGAGCAAAAAATCTAGAATGTTATATACTCATAAAATGGATATTAAAATAAATAGGCAATATGCAGTAGAGCTTTTATTGTAAGCGATGTTTAATTAACATTGCTTTCTTATGTTCAGACGAAAATACAAGATTTTACGAGGGGATAAGTGGTGCAATGAATCTCCAGGTGTCCAATTGGTCGAGGAGGGGGTTTCCGACGGCGATGACGGCGAGGGAGGCAATTTTGGAGATGGCGCCCTGGAAACGGTTGACGTACCCGATGATCACTTCTTCAGTTATTGCGTTGACGATCGCGTCGAGGTCGTCACCACCACCGATCACTCCGGTCAGTTGGGACTGTAATAGAAAATAATTTCGTAAGGCCTTATTTCTCGTTCGCTTATTTTGTAATGAAATCATGGAAAGAATTAGGTACATGTTTATATAAAAAACAAAGCTATCGAATTGAGAACCTCCTTATTTAAAGTTGGTTTTTGTTATTATCAGTGTGTGTGTGTTTTTGTATTATTGTAAGACTGCTCATTCCAAGAAAGTTTAAGGATGACAGAAGGTAAGGCACACTCTATGTTAACAGGTGCTATAAATAGTAGATGGAATTAATTTCATAATGTCATTGAAGTCTTGTGAATTGAAATAATGAAATATTATAAATCACGGTACTTTGAAATATTACATACATTACAACGATATTATGGCATAAAATTGACAGTTAACATGTTGGAAAGTATCTTTTGCCAATATATAACATAATGAACTTGAGAAAATATTCAAGTCTGGTCATATAGTGCAATACATTGTCAATTCTGATGAAGATATTATGAATCCTCTGTAGTAGATTTTATTTTATATGTAGTTTACGAAATTGGTAAATTATTGTAGAAGATTTTATTTTACCTGGAAGTTGGGCAATTGGAAAGCTGCATTCTCGATTCTGTCAATAAGGACAGATCTTCCATCTTCAGATTGTCTCAAGATGAGTCTAGCTTGCAGTCTGAAGTTTTCAATTACAAACCTGAAAATAAACAAATGATATAATATAATTAGCTGGCCGGTGAAACATTTTTTTTCTTACCAGGATGAACTATTTTATCTCTCAAGTTGGAGATTAGTATGAACATCATTGTGACACGAGATTTTTATTTGTGGCACACAATGACATTAATGGCCTGGTCCTCAAGTTATGACACCCTATGTTTTGAGAAACACGCAACAAAGATCTGAATACCCAATCCGGACAACCCAGACCTGCGTCACTTAAAAAAGTTTTTTAATTAATCATATTTAAATTACTGAAGGGATTTGATATTTCAAATTTTTTCTGATCTTTCAGATTTTTCAAGTTGGTAAAATTGGTAGATAAATTGTATCTTAGATTAACATTTTTATTACCTCAATTCAAGCGATATAAAAAAAATATTGAATACACACAGTACCATCTAGTTCCAAAATAAATAGAGCTTCTACTATGAAAAAGATAAAGTTCTCATGTTTGAACTTAAGTGTTAGGGAGAAAGGGTTTTGTATAGAGAGCATAAATACTTACCTAGCATTACCAGTTCCGTATAATGGGATAGCAGTTAAAATATCACCAACTAAGTCGTATACCTCTGAAAGAAAAAGTTAAGAATTATGAAAAGGAATAAAAAGAATCCATCTGTACCGGCGTTTTCGTATAGAATCTGTATTTCCAATTTTAAACTATATTTATACGAATGTTTGTATTTAGAGTTAAAACTTGAATATTCATAGTATGGCTCTTTCTACGGAAGGAATTCATGTCACGAAAACGCGACAAGTAATCTTATATACTCGTAGTATAAATATTGTAATTTAATATTTAAAGCATTATAAGTAGAACTCTATTATACAACAACTATGTGAATGTTTATGTCGATAATTCGTAATGAAACCTTAGCTGCGCCTTTAGCAGAAGTTACAGAATCTCAGATTTACGTCATTACACAACTCACACTTCATGACGTTTACTGATGGCGATCACCACTGTAAAGTCTATAAATTATCTAAGGTAAATATTCATTTACCACTGCTGATCTCTAGGCGAGGTACGGAGATATCCAAGTCGAATGTCAGACCACGCAGAGACAAGTCGCTCCTGTGCACAACGAAGTCACCGAAGCCTGAAGCAGCGATTCTTTGGAGCTCCAGATCCAAACTGGAAGTAGAAGATAATTTTATTTATACTAATAATACAATTAACATTTTCATTGCAACAGAAAAAGAAAGAAATTTTGAATAAAATTCGTCACGAATGTTATCTCTGTATCATTCACAACCTTCTCCTCAAAGTTGTGATTGCATTTTAGGTTACGAAAGCATAAGACCTTAGTCTTTAAAAATAGAATAACAAACAGAATAGCAAAGGCGACATGGTATATTCTGTGTTATCCATATCCACTTCGATGCAACGTTAATTTATATCTCATTTCAAATTGCATAGAGAATAGGTATCTTTCTTACTGTTTTTTTTTCTAAGTAAAATAATTATCATAATAAAATGAACCCATATTGAAGACTACAAGAAAAACACATTCAGATAAGATCTATACGATAGGAATAATTAATAATATATTATGTAGTTTGTGACATACCATACGCATTATTGCAACTTCTAAAAATTTTGCTTTTAGCATCATGCATGTAATATAGTCTTACGAAGTATTAAAATTTACACAAACACCTAATAGTAATAAAATCGTCATGATCATTATAGTTACGTCCATAAAAGATTATTGTTATTATCATAGTGCCTTCAAATTATGTATCTACTTAGGTGTATTCTATTTTATTATCTTTTAAGTTTACCATATCAGGTAAGGTAATAATTAGTTTTCAAAGGACAGGTTATCTCTGAACCCAGATACTGATCTTAATATTCCATTAGATTAAAATAATTATAAATAATTAAAATATGATAACTGAATCATTGTGTGGTACGTATCTTTGTTGTTTTATATTTACACATAATTACAATAGTGAAATCGATATCTATCTATTTATTTATTAATTAGGTACATACTGCGATTATGAGTTTTATAGAATGGTGAAGTACCTACCTAATAATATAGTATCTATAAGAAGGAAGTATAGAATTTATTTATCTATGTTTTGTACTGGAGATTAGATTTTAAAGGTAACCTCGAGTTTAAATAAATATCTAAATATCTGTTTACTTAATATATACTGTGACGTCTTTACATTAATATATAATATAAACTTTAAGTAATAACTAAATATAATATAGTAGTTAAGTATTATGTTTATAAGAGAAAAAAAAATTATTATACAATCCTGCAGTTACACAAAACGAATAAAGAACATAGAGTTATATAGAGTCTTAAAGCCAGAACGTAGGACATGTAGATTTAAGATTCAAGAGTCTCTTTAGGTTAAACAAGGGTTAAAACAAAAAGTACTACTATTTAGTATGACTGTGTTCAGTCATTTATGTCATTAATAACAGATGTTGTATTTGTAATTGAAAAATACTTACTTGAGAAGTCCAGCTGGAATGCTCAAGTTCAACTCTTCCAAGTCAAGGGGGTCCAGTGGTGGGATGCCAAAGATGACGGAACCGTTCCTGATGACATGTCTCACGTACTCGATCAGTTGACGGACGAGAATGTTAACTAGAATGTTACGGCTGGCCTCGTCCTTGGGGACAGCTGGCACCTCTGGGATGGAAAGAAAAACAAAATAATAATAAATTAAGCATCTTTTACTACTATCTTGTATATTATCTATAAAATCAAGTTTTGCGGACTTCAAAGATTACGATTTTGAACCTGGCTGACGTTTGTATTACATTTTAATGTAATCTCGAATCTCATGAGCACTACAAAGGTAACAAAAAATAAAAAAAAAGTACCCCATAAGAGATTACTGTCATGAGTATATTTAATTATTTTTTTATGAATTTAGTTATAAATTGAGTAGGAAACCCATGTTTACCTTCGTTCCACAAATGAGGACAAATCTGTGTCATTTCGATTCATTGGGATATTTTATGTTTTCCCCTTAAAGCTTACATATTAAACTTTATGTTTTGATATACAATTTTCTGGGAAACTCATACGCATTTCATAGCATACGGACTTATAGTTGCACATTAAGTGTTATTATGGTACGTCTATTAATTATATACGGTATTTTAATAATAATATGGCATTTCGCGAGATATAGCGAAACACCCCTTCCTTTTTCCTTACGTGATATTTAGCTATATCTTGCCATCAATTTAGTCTTATATAATGAACGAACGTTCCTCATTGTGAAAGGATCCTTATTACAAGTATCTAGAAATGTAATCTTACGTGGTATTAAAGCATTTTCGTCTACGACTTTTGGTGCAGCAGCAGCGGAGGCTGCGGCGACGAACGCGCAGAGGGCTAATACAATTGTGAATTTCATTCTGAAAAATCAATAAGTTCATTGCTTAAAAATAAAAATAAAAAAAATAGGTGGTAACATACGATCATTTCAATCGCGTAGGCTTTAAGTTAGGATTCTATATGCTATAAATAAAACTAGACCACACAACCTAGACAACCTAGACAGAAAAGCTAAATTTGAATAAGTTAATTTTTTTTCCTTAATTGGTCCGACCGAATCAAAGTTGGATCCCATTAATATAAATTGTGTCTACATCTCAGCCAAGGATGGTATCAGTTTGTTAGTTTACTGCCACGCTGAGAGCTTTCATTAGCCTTTATTCATTCTTATCAAAACCTACAGCGATATTTTCATCGATTCAAAAATAAAAACCTCATTTTAGCACAAAATTGCCCCCTAAAATAACGAAGCCTACTTTTACATTTAATAACAGTTGTTGTTTCAATATGTTCACCACATAAGTCTCAGATTAAGTAATTACTACTAGATTCAGAAGTTCAATCGTTACGTTAATATTTTTTTTTTATTTAAGTAATAAATAAAAAAAATAGTTTCTAAGTAGTTTTATATGGGTACATATGGATCTGTCTATCTTCAGTTCAGGTTCCTGATAGAGTAGGTAGTAAGAAGATAGAATTTGACAACCATATCTAAGTAGGTATTTATAGATAGCTTATTATCTAGATCACAGGTGTTTTAGCCATTGATGATTGAATATAATAATGATAAAGCATGTTACAAAGTAAAATGTTAATAATGGAAGTTAAAGATTGCAATAACCGTAAGTTTAATTGATAATAGAACAAGATCGGAACTATAAGATAAACTCATTCATTTCATTATTGTACAGCAGAATCGATTACGAGAACTACAATATATAACATTTGGTAAAGTTATAAAATTAATATTAGGTATAAATGTATGACAAGTGACATGTGAACGTTATGCGATAGCAAATTTAAATCACGAAATGTTGAGTTTCATAAAGGTTTAACATAGCATCTATGATGTAACATTTATAAAGTTATCAATTTTTAACAGTAAAATTAATGAAGTATTAGGTGCGGTTTAAAACTCAGACCGCTTGGGATTTTTTTTAATTACACAATTACTGAAATATTAATTTTATATTTTAATAACATTTTCTAAATATAAATAAATGTTTTGCATAAATTACATTTTAGAGATATTTATATATTTATACACTATGATTACGGACACTTTTTCACAAATTAAAATATTAAAAAAAATGCAAGTTCTATTAAATAAAAAAAATAAAGGTTTATAATGGAAAACCAATAAAGTTACAAGTAGGTATAGGCGTGTAAGGGACTTACCTGTCGACTCTTTCACTGTTCAGCAGTTACTGTGACCAATTTAAATCATTACAGATATTAAAACAGGTGTTAATCAGTAGGTAATTATTTACAACAACACTGATTTGGCGGCTTAGTGATAAATCATTTTGCAAACAAATAGAATCTTAATCTGATCAATCATCGCCGAATTGCTATCTGATCGTAATTATCTTAATTTTTAATTGTTTACAAGGTTTATTTGTAATCAGGCATTAGACTAATGTATTAATTTTATTGTCTTATGCTTGATTATGAATAAAATCCTGCAAACCTCATGACAATAATACCTAGTGGGGTAGACAAAGGTACTCAACGTCATTCGCCGTCGTGGTAAAAGCAGAAATCGACATGTTTCGTCGAATAGTATGTATATTGATATCCAATAAATAAACATAAATAAATAAAGGTTTATTATTAATACTAACCAACGTTGCAGGATTCGAGTCTTCTGTTATCCTCCGAATTCTTTTAATTTTTTATTACGGTTGTTTTCCATCATCAGAAAGTTAGTCAGAAACTTAAATTGACATACAAAGTTATTGATGTCAGTTGTATTTGTGGTATGTAAATTGGGGTATATTATTGGACCACTATCGTTTTGATTTGGTAACGTATATTTGTGTTTAAAATAATAATTGTAAACTCTGTTTTTCCTTTTTTTTTCTTTAGACGGTTATAACTAATAACTATCTATAAAAAAGTCACGGAAAACCCTAACCTTTTTGGTCGAGTGACGGGCAGCTGCGTCTCTCTAACCAACTTTTAATTGCAGTTGCTAACTTGCCTGCCATTTGTGGCAACTACTGGCAAACTCCCTCAACAGGGGGAGGCCTATGTTTAGCAAAGGACAGTCAACGGCTTTTATAATGATGCTCATAATATTCAAAGTTGATAACATTGGCGTATTTAAAATAGTTTTTCAAGGGGATCTGACCCCTTAAAAAAGACATAATGTACTCTCAGTCACGCCTTTGTACATAATTTAAAGCTTTATTTGTAATCTACGGTGGGCACTAGGTAATTCTGGGGTGGACACGTTTCCAATTATGTGATGTTTTCATTCTAGACCTCAATTATTTTATGCAACATAGAATGATATACAGGTAGATGGATCACCAGATGGAAAATAGTAATCATCAGGTCTGAATAAATGTAATAGAACGTAAATAATATTTTTTGTTTATTACTAGCAAGAAATCGATATGTTTATTATAATAGTTAATTTATAAGTATGTTGTCAGATAAAGATAATTCGTTGACATCCAGAAACTCCTTTATAGTCTGACCATGGTTTTGATGATTACATTACATTCCTACATTATTACTTATCATGTTTAGTTTTGTAAGATCTAATTATCTTAGTCTTTGTTTTTATTTTAGATATGTAGGTACAAATGATCTTATAAATTATCAACATAATCATAAGAGGTACAAGTTGTGTAACACTTAATAAACGAAGTTATTTTAATGACTTTGTGCCTTTAGGTATGAATAGAAATTGTAATGAATTCTTGTTGTAATGAAGTCTTGTTTGCTATCATAATCCATCTAATACATTTAAAGATTCAGAGTTTTTTTCAACAACGTAGAGTAAGTAATTATGTCATCGCTCCTCTAGCCTTAAAAGTAGGAAACATAAGTCTAAAAACTACAGAAAATATAGAGCTTTTCTCGGTAGAATTACTACGAGTATACTCAATATCTCTGGTGCCCCCCATACAACAAATTTGCGCGTAGGCATTACAAAAAAATATTGCCGTTCTAATCATGTTATTTGAAAATAAAATTAAAAATTTTCCTAATATAATGTATTAAATTTTATTATGTAGGAAGATTCCTAATAAATACATTTTGCATGTCAAGGTCTTTACGGGCCAGGTGGAAAGTATCGAGTAAGTAGGTATTATTTTCACTGCCTCTACTCTGGTTATATTTTTTTTAATATTTTATTTTATTATAAATCCATATAATTAACATATGGATAATTATGTTTATATCTAATCCATCAATTAATATCAATGAACCTGAATAACCTGAATGTACTTCATTTGAATGGTGGTCGAACTATTATCACTGCTCAATAAATGAGCGAATATCTGTTACTGTCAGCTACATAATACGTATTTTAATTGAATTAATTTTCCCATCACAACAAAGGGAAATACATCAATGAGATTTAAACCGTATGGTTTTAGGGCCTTGACATATATCAACGAATAAATGAATTAAGTCAGTCGCTGTAAGAGGACAAATGGCCGCTCCCATCTAGCGCATATGGACATATTTAATTATATATGGAAGTTTATGGGAGGAGATTTTAAGTGTTTAACAATTGTTTCTAAAAATGGCGAGGTAATAAAAGTTTCATGGCATTCTTCGAATTAATGTTTACTAAATAAAATTTCGATGACTTGATTCATGCTGTAGATGGATTGTTTGAATGGAAAGCCAAAATTACTTATCAGCTGTGAAAATAAAGATTTCTAATCTACACTTAAGATCTGGATTTTATGTGAAATGCCTCTTAATTTATCTACAATTTAATAGAAAGATATTTATGTACTTAAGGATAATAATAAATCATCCATTCCGTTAAGTAACCCACCAGCAATTAGCCTACAATTGCATTAGATTAAATAATTGCCTTTCAATAATCATGAAATTGCCACATATGGTTATTGAAGCAGCAGCAATAAAATTTTAGATTTTATTTCTCTGGGATTTATTTATTATTTTGATGGACAAATAAGTAACATGAAGATTTGCCTGACTACTTTTTTGTCTATTAAAATAATACATTTAGGAGGAGCTTATATAAAACTGTGATGTGTTCTATGACTTGCGCAGACAAATCTTAGGTATTGTAACTAAAATAATAAAAAAGAACTTAGTTCATAAAGTGCCAGAGTAGGTAATTCTCAGAGCACAGAACTTGAAAATATAAATAAGACCGATTCATATCCAGTTGTTGAAATATTTTCAGATTGCTTCATCGACAGTTAAGCGTGAGATTTATGACTGTTCATGATATGTACTGAACGCAGAGTTACGAATGAGTGCATCCAGTCACATGTCAAAAGCAAATAATTGTGATTTAGATATTTATGATGACAGGGCGGGGTGTCATTGTTTGATGTAGTCGTCTTTGGAGGCCTCCTTTAATACCGACTTCGAAAAAGGAAGAAAACCTCAACTCGGTTGTATTTTGTCATGTTTGTTACCTCAGAACTTCGTCATTTATAAACAAATTTGACTTTAAATTTAAATTTATAAACAAAATTATTTTTTTAATTAAAATAATATACTTTCAGATTGATTCCATAGAAATTGTATCAAAATCAGTTTAGTAGTTTATTTTTTAAATATGTATCTGGTTTTGCTATGTCAATCATCGGTATTTTTTTGTAGAACTAGATTTTAAATATAGTTTTTTATAGTCTATCTTATATATACAAGATATATACCTATCTTTACCATTATTACTAATATAAAAAGACAGTTCGTTTGTTATCTTTTTACAATAAATTCTCTCTCTTCGTCAAGAATAAAAATTAAGTAGGTAGGTCCTATAATACTTATAATCTTAATATTTTTTCAGTCATCCAATATTCAACAATGATCTAAGTGTATTCTCTAACATTTTAACCAACTCTCCAGCAATAAATTTTAAGACTACTAAAGTCGGTCGTGTCTATAAATCAATTAAAATTCTGTTGAAGAAAAGTTAGTTAATTTGTTAAGTGGGCAATCGTCCCAAATAAAATACAGATCGCGTGTAAAGGGATTTAAAAGTAGACCACTACATGAACGGCGATAGGAAGACTAGTGTATTCGTTGTTGGTCTTTCTTTGTCTGTTTAAGGACTATGTTACCTTAAATTATAGGTTAATTTATTAAGATTTTATTATTAATAATTATTGTTAAAAGTTTTATCAATACACATTATATTTTAATGTAATAATTACCATTTTAATTTACGCGCAATGAAGTCGAGAAAGCTCGACTTGTTTCTAAACTATTTGAGACCTTTAATCTTGATGCGAACGCGAGCCTAATTTAATCAAGCATTCTCGACTAAATTACACGTCAGTTAAACCGGTAGTTATTACATTAAAATCAATTATTATTATTAATTAACACCGTAAACTTCACGAAAAGAGCATATTTCTTTTTGACAGGTTCTTTTCGGTAGGTAGGCAGCACAATGCAAATTCTCTGGTGTTGCGGGTGCGGCGTGGCAGTAGTCATTTACCATTAGGTTAGCTGCATGCTTGTTCGGCCCATGTTTTTAAAAAAATAGGATCTAAAGTAGCCTATATATACTCTAGAATATGGTTTATCTGTATACCAAATTTCATTAAAACCATTACATCTAAAATTCCAAATATCTTTACAAAACATAAAATTAGTAGGAAGTAATTGTAAAGTAGTAAGTCATAAATTAAGGATAATACCAGTGGTTGTAATAGATATGGCACGCAATGATACTCTCATTGCGTGTCATATAGTTAAAACGAAATATCATTATAAGCAAAAAAGGGATGTGGTCAAGTACTGAAATGTTCTTTGTCTTACTTTGCATACACTCTTATTTTGGGATAATTTCACTTAGTTGCCTATCAAAAGTCAATCTATAGCTATATGATATCTATTATATGCGACTGAATGTTCGATGAAAATTAAATTAGGTATAATATTTAAAAAAAGATTTGTATTTTACATTATAGTACTGAAAATGTTTTCAATATATTAAAAACAAACTGAAGAAAGTGCATTTTCTAGGCACCTTCAAGAAAAGATCATATTCCTTTTTAAAAAGCCGGCTGCACACCTGCAAGCCTCTGGTGTTGTTGTATTTTGGTTTATTGAGATCAAAATGGTACTAGAAATCTTAAAATTCCACAAGTAAGTACGTAAGGTTTACAATTATAGACTTAGACATCGATTAATTTATTTAGAAAACCATGATATCCTTTAAATTTTAATTGAATTTGATAAAAATAGTTTTTTTTTTGTACTAGGTGTTATGTTTACACTATTACCTATTCAAATTAAATAGCCATGTCACTATTTGTCGTCGCGCATAAGAAAATATTTTTTATAGTAACTAGGAATCATCGTATCATATCTTACATACGTAAACATCTTCTTCGTATTTTATTATGCCAACTAATATCAGTTCCATTTTAGAGATTTTTTTTTATACAACTTAGAATGGCAAATAAGCTATAGACACGACCAGTACCATGGACATAACAGAGTATACTGTTTTGGCAAATAAGCTGACGGCCCACCTGATGTGTTAACCGTCGCCTATAGACATGAGCAGTGCCATGGACATAACAGAGTATACTGTTTCGCCCATGATGCCCCCATACGTTGCTATTCCTGAGGACTCGGATGTTATTCCTCTGTACCCTGTAAATTCACGCCATATCCCACCCTTCAAACTAAAATACAGCCATGCAAACACAACTGTTTTACGGTTGAAACACGAATGGGACAGAGGTACAAAGTCTGCCTCTGGTAATAAATAAAAAAATATATAAAAAAATTGTGTTGGTTTAACACTATACTAGAGATTAGAGATATTTACGTTTTCGTTGCAAATGTATGAGATAATCGCCACTTAACTAGGAAATTACATATCCTAACGAGGTGTACCTACATACTTGGTTAATAAATTTGACTTATACCAACTGAATAGATACTCTTCATAAAATGGGTCACTGGCTAGAATCTCCACACGACGTTTGTACATACAATAAAAGTATGACTAAGAACTAGGAATGCCTAATTAGGTGAGGTGATTGTAGATCTCTCAACGTGACCCGAAATTGGTAACGCTTGTTGAGTTTTGCTATTTCCTTCTTCAGTTGAGGCTTTTATAGTTTACCACTACCACGTTATGATTTAATAGTTTATAATTATTTAAAAGTTGTAATTTATTTGCAGACGAACACGGTAGTATATCACGTTACTGTAATATGGATGAATCTATGTAATGTTGGATCATGTTTGTCTGTTTTATTTTTCTTTATTGAATTACTTTAAAGAGTTATAGCGGTTGAATCATCGATAGATATAATATTAGGCATCTACAGGTTTCCATCCTAATATCTGAATAAAAATATTCTAATAGCAGGTTTTTATTTTTATTAACAAGTATTTATATATTACCAAAGGCTAACCAGCTATTGCAAAGTGGTACGAAGCCGTGGGCTATAGATGTGATGAAATATGGACATCATAATATACTATACAAGGTATCATTTACACGACTGAGGTGTATTAATGCGTCTTGAGTCAGAGATTGCATCGTTTATCTTACGGTTCAGGTCAAAAATCTATAACGCATGTATTGTTTCTTCACTGTAAAAGTGAATAAAATTTTAATATCCTAGGCGAGTACCTATCTGACTACCAGTTGTAACCAAGTACCTACCGAAAGATCTATAAAAGGAATAAAGGAATGGACAGATATTAAGCACAAAAAAGTTAAATTTGTAGCATTACAAAATGGCATCTGACTTCTGTTTATATTTAAACATTTATTAGACATCTTTTAATTTTACATAATGTAAAGAAAAACATTAATTTTGTAATAAAACATTTTCTACACATACGAGTATGTTCAATACACTTCTACTGCAAATTTATCATTTTATGGTAAGACTGTAAAATTTTATTTATCATATTTCTGCAAAACTTTATCCTATGATTTGTAATGATTCTACATCAGTAAGTAGATGTATGGTAGTTGTAAAAACATACTAGGAAATAAGAGCCAGCTATTTCTGTCAAGGTCGTGAACTTGTTGCCCTACACGATTTCAGCTGTAATGTAATACAAAACGATGTGTTGATAGAAATAGTTAAACAACTCGTTTAGCTATTGCAAAAACTGTATAAAGAATTCGATCTTTATATGGGTTTTATATATAAAGTAATTAGATTTACGAATATTTGATTCGTTCTATTAAATATCTTTTATCTCTTCTATGTTCGAAAAAGTTAGAAATGATAAGAATGTGTGATTAGACACGTCCATTACAATGGAGTCTTGAAGATGAACCGTTCTTTTGCTTTCGATCAAGCAATCGACTTTTGTACAAAGTGATATTAGTGTTCTTCACTCTCTGAGCAGGCCGTAGGTAATGGTCTTGGAGCGAACCTCTTAGCTTCGTTTTCTTCTTAAGACTACTACCCTGGGTTGCGGGATCTTCTGTCTATGTAGGTTGACGTCTTGGAGTTGGATAATAGGTAGGGGAATTAATATTTTCCTCTTCTTAATTGCGGATTTTTTTTAATACATAAGATCCGTCCATATGACGATTCTAGGTAGCGCATTAATAACAAATTCGTTGCTATTCTTAATTAGAGCGTATACACGTAAGTACACACGAAAATGTAGATTTTGTATGACTCCTGAGGTTATTGTACTTATTTTTCTTCTAGTGCATGTTTAGGAGTTTAATCATAGGACATTGTTGTAAATTTAGTACTTAGCGAAAATAGTTCTCTCAAGGTAGTTATTATCTCTAATGTTTAATCTGTGGTATAATTATGCAATTTTTAGTCGGAGATTAATTTATTATGGTATTAAAAATGGTCTGCGAACAAGAACTTTACGAGGTTAATCTCTACTCTGTATCAGAAATCAAACAAAGCCTTATATACTACCTAGTTTGTTTAAAAAAAACTTTTTGCTATCAGTAACAGTACAGCAATTATCTACGAGTACTAAATAAAGATTGATAATAACATACAGGTGGCATTTTTATGATATTATTATTATTGTTCTATAGGTACCTAAATTATTGTCTATTATTGAGCCTTTCTAATTACGTTCTTGTGTATTGACGACGTTATGATATTTATTGTGATATACTCTTACATATATACAATAATCCAGACACGCTGTAGTCTGTACAGTCATATATGTATATTGTACGAATATTTACTTACCAAACTATTGATTATATAAGTAGTAGTTTCAGGATATCCAAGGAATATATTTTATATATTGAATAATCCTTGGGTCAGTATTCATTAATGCCATGTCAATGTACAGTTTTCTACATATTTTGTATTAGTATGTACACTGTCTACTATTTAGTCACTGATAGCTGGTTCACATCGCTCAGTTCCCGGCGTAACCTTTGCCATGCGTACACCATACGCCGTCATTCCATACCCTACTCTAGCGTGCTTCTAAGTAAAATTAAGTTAATAATATAATATAAGTATTAAGTAGATAAAAGTCAGTAACAAGAGATAAGATAATAAAGAAAAATTAATATAGAAATGAGTAAATAAATTAATTTATCTAGATTTTAGATATATTTTAAAATGTGGCGAACTTTTGTAGTTTTCGTGGTGGTCGTATATATGATAGTGACACGTGTGACGACAGCACCTGCTTATCATCACTGTAAGTATGGAAATCTTCACTAATATTATAAATCTGAAAATGAGTTTGTTTGTTACTAAATTTTTAATCAATACAAACCCTGTCACGCGGACGAAGTCGTGGGTAGAAATACGAATAGTAACACGTGCCGCGTTGCACATATAGGCGATTCCCATGTGCGATTCCCGGTTAATTTAGGAAATGAACAATTTAAAATTTTCTTGCTTTAGGTATGGTGTTCCAAGTATTATAATTACAATTGTTTATTTATTTAGTACATTCACTTTTAATACAGGTTTGTGGACTATATATGCGGACTTATCCTAGACTTATTTCCTTGTTTATTGTAGGAGCTTCATATCGTACCGGTATTTTAAATTGAGGGACAGATAATCGAAACAATTATTTGACACATATTTCAATCATATCTTGTTCATATGTGTTATCTATTTGGTGTTGATATTTTTAAAAAAGTATATTAATATAGGATAAACTCTGAAACTACTAAATCGAGATTTTGTTTTACAAGAAAAGAACTTCAGAGCCAACTGTCTTTATTTCAGAAAATAAAGACATATACAGGTTGGCGAGACATATACAGGTAATATATATTCGACATATATTTCATCTCTTTTTGTAGTCACTTAAGTATTCTTTCACTGTAATAGAAGGCTACACAATGGAATATAATTATTTCGTACTAGTTTTTACCCGCGACATTTTTCCAATTTAACGGAAATATCGAAATTTTTACCTTTATTACCTATTAATTGATTGGAATAAAAAGTAGCATATTATGTCGTTATATTAATATTAGAAAATATAATTACATACATTATAAAATTTATCTATTTCTTTATACTTTGATATGAAGATATCTAAACCAAGTTGTTATTGTAATTTGTAATTGATATTATTATTATCTGTAGTGGAATCATTAAATCAATGTTTTCATTATCGAAAATATTATTTATCTAATACCTTAAGGTGATTATTATCATTTAAATTGTTATTGGTATTATAATGAATGGTTTCTTTGTTGTTAGCTTAGATTTTGTACTTATATGTATATGAAAGTCGACGTACAAACCATTAATTGCCAAAATAATTTATTATCATAATCAATAAATAAATGTTAATATAATTTAAATTATATATTATTATGCACTCATCTGTGGCATTATTATTTAGATATATTAGTAACATTATTGAATATTGACACTAATTTTATCACGATTATTATAGTACCTATTTTGACTAGAATAAACCATACTTTAAACGTAGTCATAGGTAAGTATAGATTTTACATATCAAATAAGTATAAAATAGGTAAAAAAATTACAGTAGAGAATAATATTTTATTGTCTACCTATGCTGTTACTAATAGTTAATCTCTTATGTATTTAAGAAGATTTTGTGATACAGATAAGTACCTACCTGTCTATAGTTTATGCCCGTCTTGAATTAATATTAGTTTTATTTTTATTTTTATATTTTCATTAGTTATAATTAATTTGCAAATCGTTATTACTAAAGGGTACTCATGGTTGATGCCATGAAAAAAAAGTAAAATAAATATGTAATATGTAATGTTTAGTACAATTAAGGAGATGAGATATATTATTTTTTTAGATTTAGATTTTATGCAAGTCAGAATAGAAAACAAGTTGAAGGCCAACCTGATGAAAAGTGGTAACCGTCAATTATAGACACTATAAAGTATACTATGTTGCCCATGATATTCTTGATGCGTTGTCATTCCTCAAGTTAACATATTTATATATGATCGTGATCTCACATATTTAATAAACACAGAATATAATAAAATAAAATTAGGTATAAAGTTTCGTTGAAATCTAGTTCAGCCGTCTTCATGAGATGAGGTAATACTTAAACAGACAGACAAGTTTACGATTTTATAATACAAAGTAAGTATAGATTTATTATAGTTTGTACAGATAGTAAGATAAATAGCAACACAGACTGTAGGACACCTATTAAAAATACATATTTTTAGAGTTTATTAAACTACTACTCGTATGATAGTGGAGTCGATTCTGAAGTGCCATTTCTCTAAACTAAACGTACGTAAAAATAAAACTTTAGTTTGGCATCACAGCGAAATCGTTATGTTTAACACTAATATGAACTTTAGAAATTAAGTTATAAATAGATTTACATTAAAATTATTATATGTATATATAATGATTCATCAAACAGTAGTTTTGCGAAATTATCAAATTAAAATATTAGGTTAGCACATAAGGTTACAGAAATGTTGCTTCAGTATTAAATTCCTTGTCGCAATTTGCTGTTTCTAAGCGGCCAAATTTTATAATCTGAATAAATGTAAATAATTAATAATTAATATTCAGTGATGTCCAAAGCAGCTGAGGACTGTATGCATAATTCTTGGGACAGTCAGAGGTATTTTTCGTCAACTGAACATTAGATATTATGTAATACGACCATGTGGACCACACATTTCGACATCTCGTCCACAAATAGGCTTAGTGTTGATTTATGGCATGTTTTTGCTTCTTAGAACGGTAACAATTGCTTGTTAATTGACCTGCAAATATGGTACTACAGTAGATACCTACCACATTTGTAAGAAAGACGATCGGTAATGAAAAGTTCATGGCATGTAAAAGATGTACATAAATGTTGGTTGATGTAATAGGAAACGATAAAAACATTACTTAGAATATGATTATCATTTTATCTTTACTTATAACATGCCATTATCATACATACAATTTATCTAATATTATGAAACGTTTACAACACGTACTCCTAAATAAAGCTTTATTTCTTTCTTGGCGTGAGGTACGTAGTTCATTATATTAATTTTTAATACAGAATTCAAGACAGCAATGTCCAATTGTTTTGTCTATAAGTTAGAATATCTTATGTTATAAGCAATCGGTCTACAAATGTTTAGAACAATCACGCTGACCGCCTGGACTAGAGGCAATTAAGAAAAGTTCGTTTCTTAAATTGACCCGCTCGAAAATTCATTCAAACAACCACCGAGAGTAGAGTCATTGCACTTAGAGTAGATAAGATCGAATATATAAATAGTACAATATATTTTTTTTTATTGGATGAAAATGGAATGGTAGCCCCGCCTGCGCTAACGGGATACACTGGCGGGGCACCAGTGAATAATGATCAATGAGGATGAAGACAGGTCAGTTAGCCCATCATGATGAATTCATCTGGAATTAACCATGATAGTTTCCAGGGAGAACCGCGAGGAGGTCGACCTGGTTGGGTATATTGCTAGCAATGGGATTCTCAGTCTCCATTACTAACAATCCCTTTCCCCCCAGAACAATATATTGTATCAACAAAATAAACCAAAAAAGAGTTTCCGATAAATATATAAACAACTAACGTAGAAAGCCGTACGCACTATCCCGAATCTATTGTAGCCAAGTTTTACATTATAACTTGCACAAAGTATTAATTTTATTCATAATGTGATAAATAAAAATAGTATAAAAAACAAAATCATAAGCAATCTAAGTAATCCTATTAATATTATAAATGTGTAAGTTTATAAAAATATTTGCTACTCAATCAAGCAAGATTAAATACATGTTTGATAGATTACACACAGATTAGGAAAATTTATCTGATTCACGTGGACTATGCCACAGCATATATGGGGGTAGATTTTCATAACCATAGCGAACCCATAAAAAGAGGATATTATAGCCTAGTATTCATTACTACGCTATATATGCTTGATCCCTTTTAGTCACCTTTTACGACACTCTGACGATGAAAACATTATGTTCTTATTCCATCACCATGCAGATAATCTAATCTTTATCTAATTAATAAGTAGATTTTGTTCAGTTACATTGATTTCAAAACCAAACTACTGGACCGATTTCGATAAAATTTCTATGGGACTAATCTTAAAATATATCCTTTATAAAAAAAAATTAAACCGATTTATAAAAGACAGAGTTCTGGGGTAGCAAACATAAAAAAAGAAAAGAATTGAGAACCTCCTCTTTTTCTGAAGTCGGTTAAAATAATAAACAATTATTATCTTTTTTACAACACGACAGCTCGAGGTCCCCGCTACACAATCAGCAAGACACCAGATCACAATCACAAGGCTCCATATATCGAGGTATGGAATTCGACTTACCATGGATACGGGCCGCGGGAGGAGGCACGAGCTATGTGCTCAGTGAAAACACATGAGGTTAACGCTACTGCTAATGCTACAATCACCAGGAGACTACATGGAGTAGTCACGTCTAGTAAGTTTAGAAAATTTTGCAGTTTATTTATTTTATTTTACCTACGGCCCATATTTCGCCTTTCTCTTAGAACTATGATTAGAAAAAAGGTCGGTTGAGTGCGAGTTCCATGAGCACCGATGGTTCCATACAAATTAAAAATTATTTTTTTGTGATGTAACTACAAATTTACGAATTTCGGATTTTTCCCTTCACTTGTGCTGTACGATATATCTTCTTGCCAAATTTCATGATTCTAGATCAAGAGTAAATACCTTATAGATACGGCCGTGTATAGTGTATATTTTTATAGTCATAAGACAATATATTACCTTATATCTTTTAATTGCGTTAACTTAGAAATTTGATATTTGCAAGTTAACGTTTCACGCTGTAAGGGATTGTAAACCTGAGTATTTGACATTAGTTTCAGTTTCTGAGAAAAAAGATGTTAACAGACATACAACAAACTATATTTGTTAACCAACCACAAAGAGGTATTACGATATGTTTATTAAAGGTTGTTCATGAAAATATTTGATGATTCTTATTCTTTAGATTTCAGCGTCGCTAATTGGGTATTTTTTAGGAATTTTTGGGGAAAATTTTCCATTCGTGAAATATTGAGGAAATGGAATTTTGGAGAAATTTTTAGCGAAAAGTGAAAAGGGTCTGAAGAAATTAGGGTAGTTTTTCTGGAAATTTTAGGTAATACTCGTAGTTACAGTATGTGTATCTGTACAGGTATATACAGCACATAATTATATGATTAATATTATATTATTATAATGCCTATCAATTGGCAGTTGACGGCTGATATGATGATGACGATATGATTGAAGGTATGTATATAATGAAAAGAATAGAAGGAAAAGTAGAAACATAAGGTATGGCTTTTCTGTCGTTCTTTATTTTGTATACATAGCAAAAAATCCTGAATATCATATATCAATTTAGAGAAAATATTTGAAGTTTGGGCGAAAATCAAAATTCGCATCTGGACACCCTGTTAGATTTGGTAACCGTGTTTACAGTCATCGGAGCATTGGTCGGGAGTTTATATTAAGTTTCATCACAGCATTAGTCAAAATCGAATTTTTGAAACTCTGAAGTTTCTAAAAGTTAAGCTTATTACACTAAACGTACTTGATTCCAAACCAATTAAAAAGAAAAAATAAAACTTATTAATTGGTTTATAAGAGACTCCGCGTTTCGACTAGGATACACACTACCCACTCACAATCTAGGTTACAAGTACGCTACTGTCTACTTGTGAGCACGGCCAGTTTACTTCAACGATCGCGCATTTCTTATAAACCATGCAATGCGAAAGTCTAAAAGTTAACTTATTATTTACAGAGGAGCTCCATTCGTCAATCCAGCGGTTGGAAGTTATAATATTTGGGCAGATGCAACAGCTATGGCAGAGTTTAGACGCATTGCGCATGCAGTTGGGCGGTGACGGCCGACCGCCTTTCCCGGACAGGCGTACTGTCAGCTTCAGATATAAACCTAATATGAAATAACAAGAAAACATTGATATTATTTTAGAAATATACAGTTTTTTTAAGATACACCAGTTAGATCAGTGGCAGTTGCAGGTAGTTACAAGGAAACGCTCTTTTCTTTTGGAGAAATTTTGATGTACATTTATAAATCTTATTAATATTATATATATAACGAATTTGTAATTAGACTACATCGGTATAACAGTAATAGCAACTAATATTTTTGAGAACTTTTTGTTTTTTTTTCGTTCCGGCATCAGGTTAAAACTATTGCACCAGGGAAAATACTGTTTACACAGTTGTATTTTTAAAGGTCTAACTTAAAAATTGATGTATCTTGGCATCGCCATCTAGAAATTTTTATCTACTTACAAGTTTCGCAATAAAAGAGCATGGAAATTGACAATTTATACAATAACTTTTTTGATGGCAATCGTCTTTGTTTTCGATGTTTTGTAGCTAACGTATGCCGTCATTGATGAAGGGGGTATCAGTAGGACCACATGGTGCCAGTGTGGATTATTTCTGATAACGATAGATGATGAGTATAATCTGATCGAACTATGAGCTCATTTATAATAACATGATAAGTGCACGCTAAAATGAAACTGATATAACACAAAATTTTATTTTCTTAATAATTAAATATAATCATGATTTTAATTTTTGATAGAAGCAATTGTTGAGTATACGATTATTATTGTTGTGGTGAAAATAACACTAGATATGTTCAAATTTCATAGAGTAATTATTATTTGAATCCAACGTGGCGATTGTATTTGTAAAGTTCTACCGTTCAGTTCTATCACACTACAAAATTTATGAAACTGTTTTTTTTTGTCCATTTAATAATACAACAAATACATAGTAGGCTATGTATTTGTTGTATGATTTTAATAGAACTATACTGATAAAAAAGCCCCATTTAGTTGGAGCCTACCGGCGTTACTAGGGTTGTTGCAGAAATTATGATTTTCATACGAAATTTGCTGATATAGCCTGGAAATAACACGGAGGCATAAGAATTCACCAGAGTTAGCCATTAATTACTATGGGTGTTCGAATACCAGTGCAGTCTGTAAGGTAAATCAGGTGGGTTATTAGCTTGTTTGACATTTTAAGTTCTGTAGAAAAATTCTGTATTTAAAATAAAATAAATGCTTACAATTAAAAAAAAAAAGAATGTACTAATGGTCGAATAATAGTTTATTTTTGTGTTTGAACAAGAAAATAATTATTATGTTTATTGTCATCATTGTTTAGAAAAGTATAACATTTTGTAGGTATAATAATATTGTTGAAAACAAATTTTTGAATTATTGAAGATACCAAAGTATATAGCAGAGCATCTATTAATAAAGCAAATAGACACGACTTTTTTTTTATTTTTATTACACTTAAGTACTGTTTCCTTAAACACAAGAGCGAGAAAATATTTTTTACGTTTTCTCACATAGTCATATCAACTTCTAGATTTGTGAAGATAAAAAAATTGAGAGGATTTAGATTGTAACAATAAAATTTAATAAATAACCATATTTCACAAATAAGGCCAACGTATTTTAATTACATGTGTATTGAGTATTTTGAATAGGATAGGTACTACGCCACCAAGTTTTTTTTTTATTATGTAGTCATAATCTTTCTGTTCTTATCCAAATTTGATGTGCATATAGTTACTTATTATAACGTATGACTGTAGTGACCAAAATAAAATGTAAACGTAATGTGGCCCAATATTTTTGTTATATCAAAAAAGAGATTAATGTTGCTGTCAATTAATGTGTCGAAATATTCATAGCCTGATTTGATGTTTAAAGAATTATCTTTATCTTGTACCATAACAATAAATAAATTAGTATTGAATATGACATCAACTGTTAATGCTGTGTTTCGGTTTGAAGGGTGGGATATGGCAGTGAAGTTACTGGGTACAGGGGGATAAAACCCGAGTCCTCAGGAATAGCAACGCATGGAGGCTATCATGGGCGAAATAGTATACTCCGTTATGTCTATGGTACTGATCATGTCTACATAAGCTGCATAAAAAATATCAATAAAAGGCAAACGAGTAAATAAAGTTGTATTTATTAACAATATTTTTTATTAGTAACTGAATTAATAACTCAGCAATATCACTCAACCGAGATACAATATAATATTGTAATTCACATAGGCCGTGATATATATAAAAAATGAAAAGTAATTAGTTATAATTCAGTTAGGTGGTAAGACTAAATGTCGCCATTAATAAATTAATTTTAACAATTAAACAGTTTATTATGCTTATAACTGCATTAGAGTGTACTTGCTTACGAGAATCGAATGGGAAATGAATTTGTTATAATTACAAATATTAATTGACTTATTACATCTAAATGCTAAAAATACATTTTAATGTTTTAGCGAAATACAAAACACCTATTATTTAATAATATCATAGTGGTTCTAATATCCCCTCGTCGGTTACAAACGTTTTAAATCAATTAGCGTTTTACACCATTAAATACATAAGTTAGAAATTATCTTATATTGAATAGACTATTTAATTCAATTTGTCGAAATAAAAAATATGGAAATGCGACATATCTGTTAATAGTCATAATTTTTTTTAACACACCCAAAATACTCCAATAGTTAAGCTAAATAATTTTCGATTATTAAAGTTTAGAAAGCGATAAATTCGCTTAAATACAAAATCATGCACTCATTCAACCATACCATTAAAATGTATGTAAAAAATATTATTATTTACTCGTATTGTATACTTAAAAGAAAAGACTTGAATATTCTTCGTAAACTTGCACACAATATACTTGCCAATAAACAATACCATATTTACAAATGAACGTTGTACATAATCTAATCTCTATATGTCATTGTATACGATGCTTTAGTCAATGCACAGTTTATAATAATTAAGCATTACTATTCGATTGAGGAGCGTTCGAAATAGAGAGAAGCAAACCCATTGCTAGGAATATACTCAAGCTGGTCGATCTTCACATCCCTCTCCCCACATTCCATGTAAACCATAGCAGTTAATTAAAAAAAAAAGTGGTATATTCCTGATAAATGCATCAAAATGGCGAACTTATCGCTTAAAGCGATAGGGTTGAAATAAATAAATAAACTGTGTAAATTGTAAAATTTGAGTAAATTAAACAAAGAAAATTCTGAGTAGATAATAGCCAAGAGATATCAAGGCAGTATTAGTCGGAACTATTACTCAATGAAAGTGGATATATATATGCAGGTGACGTAAGCGAAAACTATTTTTATTGAGCAATAGTTCTGAATTATGACTAACCTAAAAGGCAATCCGAAAAGGTTGTCATGCCTATAACGGGCGCAAGCTCTTAGTGGATACTGATTGTGAGAGACAGTTCGACTTGGCAAGTTCCTAGTGAAGGGACAATTATATATATATATATATTGCACGAGTATATATTAATATTAGTGGTTTATCAATTGTATTCTAGAGTTTTTTTGTAATTGAACAACCTGTGAAGTAATTTCGACATAATAAATATGAAAATTTCTACTAATACGATAGAAATTTAATGCATTCTCTATATTTAAACTTTTAATATTAAAAAAATATATAAAAATATTATAGCCACGAATAATAATGCTCAAAGTCATTTAAACTACACAAATTTAATTGGAAAATCTAATAATTACATCCGCATTCGTTACAATCTATACACCAGTCAAGCCGAGGGTACACAGGCAGAAAAAAGATAGCGAACAGTTTCCAAGCTTACTGTACTACTGATCGGTTACCCTATCAGTTGTGAAATAGTAATTGTCTAGACGTAAATTTGTATTTTTTTTTTTTAAATTTAGTATTGCCTGGAAGCTAAAAAGTCATAATAACTTTTTTGACTTAATTCTAGCTACTTTATTCTTTCAATTTACAATATTTTAGTTATAGTTAGTATATGACTATGTTATTATACCGTTTACTCCACCCGTGTGCACTTGACTGCATTGAACGTTTGGAATACTAGTGATACGCTAGTGTCAGGCGGCGGTCGCTTGCAGATATCGACGCAGTTCTTCTTGAGTGTCGAATATCATAACGGGGAATGGTGATCCGGGCACGTGGCGGCCCGCCCATCGGACCTCCACCCGGTAATCGCCGGGTTCGGTGGGCGAAAACTGCAAAATATTTTTTTTATTTATATATCATACACAACTGATTACAATCATATATTATGCACTTGGCAAAAGTTTTCTAAGTTGCCATGTTCAAATAAAAACACTATAGAAGTATATAGTCACTTGCTTATAAAAATGTGGTCACAAACAAAAGTACCCATATATTTATTCACTTGAGCATCGCTATGTAGCATCATTATAATTGTGAGATTTGTGTATACTTTGCGAGCGTGCGTGCGTGTGTGCATGCGTGCGAACGTGCGTATTTGTGTGTATGCGTGCGTGTATTTGTACGTGTGCTTGCACGTCTATGTGAGTGTATGTGCATGCGTGCATGCATGTGGGCGCGCGTAAGTGTGTATATGCGTGTGTAATTTAAGAGTACAAGTTAAGAGCTTTTTTTGCGAAGCAAAATTTACTTGCTTAGAAGTTATTTGGTGTGAACTGTACCTTGCATATGATGGTGCGGTCTTTTTGGCTCTCGCGCTGCATCTCGACGCGGAAGGCGCCTTTAGGGCCGCGCACGCGCACCGTGAGCTGACCGGCGCCGGCGCCGCGAGTGTCGCAATGGAACCGCGACTGGAACGTTGCTAGGACGCCCGGCTCCACGCCCGGGCCATACACACGGACCTGACGTAATATTTGTATTATAAACCACACGTACAATACAAATACACTTACATAAGAACAACATTGTTCGTCTACTTCCGATAAGGCATTTAACAAAGAGATACTATATATATATATATATATTTAGGCGTTATCAATCTCGACTAAAATGACTGAATAATATACTAAACAAAAAGTAAAAAAAAAACTTTTTGTCTATAAATAACTTAAAAACTTCTCAACTTCACTCACAGCTGACTGGAAAAGAGCACCTATTGAGGATATGTCTACTATGATATACAGGAAAGAGTATAAATAAAACTAAATTGCTGACTGCGTTTGTTTCTGAAAGTAAGTGGTAATTTCTCTAATCCCAGCAAAGGATTTTGATATGGGTTTTCATTTATACTTCTTTACACATGATTTATATGTGAAATTCATACAAATACATATTATAAATATGAAAGTTCGTTTGTTTGTTACATTGGCACCTCAACGGCTTAAGCGTATGTTAGAAACGATTTTATTCGTATTACCAAAATTTTTTACTTTTGATTTTATGACTGGCCGCTTGCTTGAGGTCGACCCTTCTTAAGATTTATTATTAAAGTTAATATAAAATACTAATTTATCTTTCCATCTTTTTACCTATCTACTCACACTAATTTCTACCTTTCTACATATCACTGGTAATACATAAATGTAGTTACCTTAGACGGGTCAGGCGCCCCAGCAACTTTGAGCACGAATGGCGAGCCGGGCACGTGCTCGCCCGCGAATTGTATACTCAGCATATGGCGGCCTGGCTCCGCGGGCTTCACGTTCAATGTGAACGTAGCGTCCCCGTGCTCGTACAATTCGCAATATGCCACCTGAAAATAAGTTATGTCTTAATAAATGGCGAACAAGTTGACGACACACCTGATGGAAAGTAATAACCGTCGCATAGACATGAACAGAATATATTGTATCAATCATAATACCCTTCATGTGTATTTCTTTTATACAACTTAAAATGTCAAACAAGCTGACGGCTCACCTGATGGAAAGTGGTAACCGTCGCCTATAAACATGAGCAGTACCACGAACATAACAGAGTATACTGTTTCGCCCATGATACCCCCCATGCGTTGCCATTCCTGAGGACTCAGGTGTTATTTCTCTATACCCTGTAAATTCACGCCATATCCCACCCTTCAAACCGAAACACAGCTATGCAAACACAACTGCTTCACGGTTGAAACAAGAATGGGACAGACGTACTCATGCAATCGTCTTTTGTACAAAGTCTCCTGAGAACTAGTGTTATGCCTTTGTACCATGTAATTTTTTATGGTATGGTATATACTCGTACCTTATTTGGACCAGTACAGTGTGCAGTGAGTTCCCCAGGGCCGGCGCGGCGGGTGTCTATCCAGGAGCGTATTTCGCGGCCCACCACGCCGGTTGCAAGCCCCGCGCCTGAACACACTACGCGGGATGCATCCCCGCTCTCGGACCCCGCCGACACGTTCACTGTCAGTGGACATCCTGTACACACGCACAGAATAGTTACTGGATAATTTCTTTTCATATAAGGCCTACTATGGAGTAAACAAAGAGAAACTTAGTAAAAAAATAAAAACAAAAGGAGATGAGTAAGGGGCACAAAAAATATAACCAAAAGTTGAAAAAAAAAATGTTAGGTCTCGTCTATGGAAACGGGAAATTTTGAATAGTGCGAATTTTGAGACGATAAACCGCATGACGCTGCGGTCTTCGCTTTGTGTATTCTGTTCATTTGTAGACAGGCACAATGGTAACGATAATATAAGTATCACACATGTATAAAAAATCTGTATGCATAATAAAAATGATGTATGCCCGTTGAAAACGCGGTATAAGGACCAACACCTACACGATTATTACGAATGGAGATTTTTAAACGCTTTAAAACATTGTTGTATGTTTTATTTGTTCAAACTGCACCGTACATTTTGTATTAGCTGTGGTAAGTTCTAGGTATCTCAAACAAGGCCTTATTTATTTAATCACAAAACTTGACTGACCTTTAACGAGTCTACCGGCCCAGAGCACGCGTAGCTGGTGGTCGCCAGCTCGGCGCGGAGTGTAAGTAGCACGCCATAGGCCGGGTCCGGCTGCCGCTAGCGCCACCGGAATGTTCTCACCCTCTGGGGAAGTTAACGACGCCTCGGGAGCACCCGGGCCTGCTGCGCTACCATCTATATTGAAAAATTATGACAACATGTATTATAACGTTAAACCAAACTCTTAAGAAAATTAAGAATTTATTTATAAAATCGTATGTTACTCCATGTAGCTGCAGCAACAAAAACAGTCACCACATATTGTCATAATAGATTATAACATTATAATAAATAGATGAGCCCATTTTTTATATATTACACTTTGTTAACTATAGACTAAAAAGAAACCCCGACAGACTTGTACTGACAGAAATACCAAGATCAGACAAATATAATAAAAACTGCCTTACTATGTACGTTCACATATATAATAAAATTCCAAATAAATTTAAAGATTTAAATAACAATTTATTTAGAAAGAGATTATATAATTGGCTGAAGGAACACAATTCTTATGATATAATGTAATCGCAGCGAGCAGGTTGCGATCCGCAGTATTGTTTAATGGCATTAGTGTGCCGATGTCAATAAGGAGATTTATCAGGTGGTATACTTACCGACAGTGAATACAGCGGGCGTGTGCGGCGCCGCATGCGCTAGTCCGCGGCCGGCGAGCGTGACGCGGTCGGCCGTGTTGCCGGACGCCACCAGCGCCCGACGCGGCGCTCCGCCCACCAGTGCGCCGTTGTACGTCAGCTCTAACTCTTGTTCCCCACTCACACCCTCGGCGGCCGCCAACGTCACTACCGCGCGACCTGATACTGTTTCTACGCCTGATAACATAATACACACCTAGTTTAGTATGATTTGGTAGTATTAAGATGTATAGAAGTAGACAAAGGTAAAGAAGGTCAATAGTGTGAAGATTAGTGCCAGAACAAATCGATATCCTGTAGCAAATTTTGTGGTGTCAAATATTTTGTACGTAAATTTTGAGCCATTCTGTAAGTATTTACCAGAGGGAGACTTTGTACAAGAGTCGATTGCTTGGGTACCTCTGTCCCATTCGTGTTTCAACCGTGAAGCAGTTGTGTTTTCATGGCTGTGTTTCGGTTTGAAGGGTGGGATATGGTGTGAATTACACAGATACAGAGGAATAACACCTGAGTCCTCAGGAATGGCAACGCATGGGGGGTATCATGAGGCGAAACAGTATACTCTGTTATGTCCATGGTACTGCTCATGTCTATAGGCGACGGTTACCGCTTTCCATCAGGTGGGCCGTCAGCTTGTTTGCCATTCTAAGTTGTATAAAAAAAAAGTATGGAGAATTGTATTAGGGAAATATATGTTACTTATATAAGATGGTGGTATAAGTTGTCTGTTTTCATTAAGAAAATTAAATTTCACAATGAATTGCTAGCATAATTGTACAATTAGCTTACTAAAGAAGGTATTTTGAATTAATTTTGAGAGAATAGTTCAGAGCTAAATATAAAATAGTAACTTACGTTGATGTCTACCGGCAAGTAAGCATTCAAGTGTGCCCGGCCCGGCGTTGCTGGTGTCCAAAACTAATTTGGAGGGCGCTCGCACGCGACCAGAATTATCTGCTCCCCAACCGCCTACTGGCACTATAGCCGATGTATCTATGACCTGAAAATGATTTTAATATTAATTCTTGACTTTATATAACTTTTAAAATTATTAATGAAAGAGAGCATGACGTAAAACAAAGAAAAGTTAACATAGTTCATACACTAAATTATTTTATAATTTTCTTAAATAATCAAATAATACGACTTGTATGAAATATCAGGTGATATTTTTACCAAATATGACTGTATTTTGTTCATTATTATATTGAATGAAAAAAAAAATTGTAAAGATCGAAGTCGGTATCAATATATTCTTTATTTACTTGTTTTGATGTATTATTAAGCTTACTCTACGAGTGTCGCAGAAAGTGCAGTATGAGAAAAATGTCGCGGGAGATGAATACAAATTTCAAAGAGACAAGTAACATAGTGAACGATTTTAGAATGTGATTTCTATCATATTTTAATCACTTACTTTTACGGAGAACGGACTTCCGGGCAGCGGTCCCGATGCGGTGAATATCCGCACTTCGTACTGGCCCACCACAAGCGGTATGTACGCGCAGAGCCACTCACGTGGCGCTCCGCTCACCACCCGACACTCCAATAGGCCGGACTCTGCGTTGTCTTCTTTACCTTCTGTCAGCCTTTCAACCTGATTATAAATTTAGTTTAATTTGGTTTATGTATAAAAAAATATATATCTTTTTATGCTCGTCAATTTATCATTTGCTTTTGCATGCGTACTAGTGCTATGAAGCTTTGTAATTTTACTTTATTTTGTTGTTAAATTGTAAGAGAGGTGGTTTAAAATAACTACTTTGATTTATCTGAGGAAGTTTATGTTACTGCCCGGAATTAGCAGTGAACTCTAAGGAAGGGCAGAGCACAATACATATGAGAAGTTGTACTTTATACACTGGTTCTCGGGGGATATTCGCGGGAAACAAATAGTATTAAATAAAATTTGAGCGAAAGAACCTGCACAGTGGGCGGTGCGTCGTCGACGCAGTGAATAGTGAAGGCGGCCTCTTTGCCGACGTGTGCGTGTGAAAGTCCAGTGCCAGCACAGCGAGCACCAGCGGCACCGCCAGTACCCGCTCCCAGCACGCCCAAAGATACTGGGCTACCCGTCACGCTCGCGCCTGGATACAATAGTAAACTACATTTTACAACTTATAATAAAAAATAGTTGCATTTGATGTGTAAGGGGCTTCGTAAATGGTTACTTGGCTTCAGTTGAACATTTACAGTCGCTTGTTGCAATGGAAATATTTGAAGCATTGCAATAGAGCCGTAAATTATTTACACGATAACAATAGAGGGCCAGCATTGACTTAACAGGAACTTAACATTTCGTTCATCATAAATCCTATCCTAATAGTCCAGAGGAATGATATTTTAAAATTTTTAATAATTTTAAACGGCATGTATTATGTAATTTAAACATCAAATTTCTGTTTCGTTCGTGCCCGAAATTTAGGAAAATATTTCATGGTAGGCCCTCAGATGGTGCTGTGTAACATATCCAGTGGTATTTACTTAATTGCATATATACATACCGCCGTAAGTGATGTATATGCGGTAGTGTGCGGGTAGACAGGGCCGGAGCCGCACGCGGTGCACGCGGCCGTCCTCGCGCACGTCCACCGGCACTCGGATGCGGCGCTCCCCCGTCGCCTCGCACACCACCTCCAGTTCGCCTACGCCCGCGTCTTTTGTTTCCACTGTACATTAAAATTAGGATATAGGTATATAAGGTAACATTGTGAATTTAAATCTACTTGGGTAAAGTTGTCATATCTATTATAAGATATCACGTGGTCACATGATTATTAATTGCTAAAAAAAAATTATTAAAAAAAATCTTTCTTTACGCCTAATGCCGAGTTTTTTAAAATTAATGCAAGAAGTAATACGCTAAGCATTACTCAGATATCAAATAGATAAAAAAAATGTTTTATTATATTTATATTTATGAATAACGGGATAAATGAGTATTTTAATTTGTTTTTAAAAAATATATATTATTAATTATTTACCTGTGAAATTTATAGGCGTATGTGCTATGATGTTGCCAGAGGGCAATCCGGACAGTATGACTCTATGGGGATCAAACGATTCGCATGTATACGGGCTGCCAGAGACGGGCTTTGAAAGATGTAATACTTCTGCAAAAGATAAAACAGAATAATTTAAAACAGATGTGTACTATTATAAATTGGGCTTGTACTTTTTATAATGGACTTTTTATAATTTTCTATAATGAGATTTATTAGTCGCTTGTAAACAAGAACAACATTGTATAGACAAAAAAGTACATTGTGCATGATATAACAGATTGCATTTGCTATTTTACCTTGCAGATAGAATATAGCATATGCATGACTAATGAACTATTCCATTTTAGTTTAATTTTATGACTGATAATAAAAAAATACTTATAAATATGTTTATAAGTATTTAACCATCTTTATTTTTAAGACCGTTACTTAAAGCGACTTGACGTGTATGTAGGTACTATTTGCCCAACTAACACTATCTGTTGATTATTTATAGTCGTGGTATACAAGTGTAGGTTTCTGACAGATATATTCCAAATTCAAAAAGAAATTATAAACATAAAAAAGTGTTGTTTTAAAGGAGGTTGTAAAGAAATCTGTTTAAGTAAAGATAATTTACATTTATTTATCTCGATATTATTATACTGTACTTACCAATAGTACTCTGTCCTACTTCTGTAATAGTATATTCAGCTTGCAACAAGCCCGATTTAGTTTGATAGCACCGTACAGGTAAGGCCCTAGAGCCGGGCCCCGAGACTACCACGTCGAACTCGCGAGCCGGCCTCCCGAGTGTATCGATACTGAACGACGCCACCCGGCCCACTTGCGCTTGGTACAAACCTAACCCTGATGCTGATACCTGGAACAATGAATTAGATTTTTTAAATGCTTGTTTTCACCAATTATTTTGACTTCTCGGAAAGGAAACTTGTGATATGTAAAAGAATACCAATAATTAACATGGTGTTACGTAAAAAACAAATATATTTTAGTTAGAAAAAAAAAAAAACTGTGATTTACGTAAAGCATATTTGCATTTTTCAAAGCAAATTACTTTTTGCTATTATTTATGAAGGCAAAAAGTATTAAAATAAAAATATTTGTCGATAGTAGATTTGGATTTAGAATGAAGTCGTTAAAAAAATAAAAAATAATTAGGAACTCGGTTTAGAATTGCGACTTTGTTGTGTAACATGTAAAAAAAAAAAAAACTGAGAAATCTCTTGGGAGTCAGCTAAAATAGTTAACATATTAAAAATAAAAATGCATTTGATTTAGGAAATTTTGAATCACATTACTTGCAACACAGACAAATGGTGTGCTCTGTTTTTTTAAGTATATGACACCTGACTCCTCTTCTATAAGCATACTTATAGGGGTGATATAGCGGCTGTAGCACTTTTAATCAATTCGTCATCAAAAACCTACATGTATATGATCGAAGCTAAATAAATTGCGCGTAAGAATACAGGTGTGGTAGGATATCGTACCTCCTGTCCATGGTGTGCGGGCAGCACGTCGACGAGAAGCGGTTCGCGTGCGATCGGCACGCCGCTCCAGAGCAGCGCGAGGCGGTGCGGTGCTGGCCGCGCGGGGTGCCACACCAGCTCCTGGCGGCCGCCGCCCCGCCGCCGCACCGAGTGCGGCACTGGCTGACCTCCGCACCACACGCGGCCCGATAGACGACCCGCGCCTGCGCCTTGCGTGCTAACTGTCGACGTTACGTGTGTTTTAAACTTTTGTGCCTGCGAGTCTCTTGGAAAGCAAAGAATGGATTGCCAAATGCTACAAGGCGTTCTCAATAAACATAATGTCCCGGAGAAAAGATAGTAGTGGCCGGCTATACCTATAGTGTAGAAGGGCTTATTACTCTATTCCATTCCCCTCCATTCCGTAAAAAATTAACACAAGCAAAGTTGTTGGATACAGTTAATTTATACCACTAGTAGGAATACAGTTCTTACCAGTCAATATCGCCGGTCGGTGTGCAACAGCGTCACCAATAGACAGCACTTTGACAGCGGCAGCATCTAACGCTTCCACTTCAGCGATCGGCCCCCTCGAGCCCCTAACTACGTATCTGCCAACGCGATTCGCCGGGAACGTGAGGAGGCCGGTGTCCTCGATACGAGCCTCAGTTACACGAGTGCCGGTGGGCGATAGAACTTCCACGTCGTTGAGGGTCTCGTCTATTTCTACTGTTGCTACGCCACCTGTTCGAAAACAAGTTTGTTATGGAAAATATAATTAAAATACGAAAATCATATGAACAAGATTTTAACAGCGTGTTCTTCTGTAATGTGACCAGCATTTTTTCAAATTTTAAAGTGGATTGTTTTTTAAACAAATATTAATATTAAAATGCGCGTAATGTTACTAACCGATCTGTACGTATGTGTGCGGCTCACTAACACGACACACGAAGGGGCTGCCAGGCACAGGCTGCTCGTTGAATGTGACAGAGACGCGGTGCGGTTCGCGTGACACCGGCACAAACGTCACATCGTATAGACCGCGCGCCACTGCAACAACCTGGCGGACAAAACACTCATCATATCGTTTACAAATAAATCACATAAAATATACTCATTATTGTTTTCTCCAAAAGATTACAGTAGTAAACTTATCACTAATAACTTATAATAATTAACTATAATTTAGGACACTATATTCTGGCAACTAATCTAAAATCTAGTATTAACAAATAACTAAAACTGGACTTGTATAAGATAGAGAAAAGTGGTGACCTCAGATATGAAAAAACTTCTTAGATTGTCATATCTATACAAGAGTTATCAAAGTACTCCAATTTAATAGTGGCCGGTGAAGACAATGAAATTCAAAAAAAACTATTTACCTCAGCCTTAACGGTAGTGGAGGGTGTAGACACGACCAATTCGAGCGTGCCTTCACCAGCGCCGGCCGCGTCCACACTGAACGTCACTGGCTTGCCGACCTCCACACCTCGCTCTTCATCCGCTCCATCGTCCAAACTCAGACCTTCTAATGTGCCTTCTAGTTCTGAAATAAACATCGTATTGTTTATTCTCTACGGAAAGACTGTAATGGTGATGAATTGTATGGGAAATATAAGTACTATGAAAGTAAGTAAGCTCAGGAAGTTTACAAATACATAAGTTGACTTCAGATAAAATATTACCAACATCTTTATAAACAAGAGTGGAACTTCATAATATACTTCACTAATTTTATTTTTTTATAAGACTTTCTGATGACAATTTCATTTATTTATTATTAAATATAATAAAATAAGTAGTAGAAATGCAGCTATCACACGACTGCACCATAGCGTCGTGCTCTGATCGTCAAAGTGTGACATTCGTCTACTTTCTATTCATTGTCTTGTCCTATAAGTGTATAGGTTCCGTATGATGTTTTTTTCTATTTATTTATTTAATTTATTTATCATATTCAAACACCGATATATATTCTTAATCTTGTCCATTGTTGTCACTTCACACACCAGTTTTGTTAATAATAAAAAAAAAACTCATCTATGAATAAATTACTACATCCAAAACCCCTCAAGTGGGAGGTTTATATTCAGCATTGGACAGTTAAAGTCTGATATAATAATGAATAAATTGGTAAACCAAGTGAACGAGAACTGTTTGAATTTGGCTTTGTTTTTGGCTACTTCAAAGGGAGACAGTTGTGATATATATGTATGTCAACTCACCTCCAGGTCCAAGTCCGGTGACCCTGACCCTCCTCACGTCGTACACGTTGCAAGTAAAGGGCGAGCCGGGCACGTGTCTGCCGGCGCAGGTGACCTGCACGGAATGGCGGCCGACAGCCTCCGGCGTGTATGTCGCTGTGTATCGGCCCTCGCCTAATGCTGTCAGCCGGGTTCGCACGCTGCTGCCGCCCGGGCCCGTCACGAACACCGCCGGCTCGCCCGCTGATGGCCGAGATAAATATATAATTGTATTAAAATAAATCAAATTCCATTCAGTAATATGGAGAGACTCATAAATACACTTATGTTAAGATACATATAATATAAATAATTTTGAATGATCGATTTCTTTATTTTTCCTTCAAAAAATAAAAAGAGAAAACAGAAACTGTAAATTTTTCTCAAATTGGGTTTGCTGGAAGAAATCTCTTTTGGAGATAAGCACGCCTTTGTGCACTATTATGTTTATTTTTTATATTTCAATAACCTTTTGTGTACAATAAAGAATAAGAAACTAAAAATTACAAGAAAATTATGACGGCCCTATAAATGCACTACAAGCCATCTCTTTCAGGCAATCATCGTATTGAGAAAAGTAATCCGAAATAGTAGATTGGAACACATAATTAAGTAAGAAATATTATTAAGAATTAATAAATATAAAAGGCATAGTAAACTATGTGTAGATACAAATGCACATAATATTAACAGATTCACATTCAAATACGCGTGAAATATAAAATTATAGTAACTGTTACATACTTAAAGATAGAACGTTAATAAAATGCAAAACATACAAAAACATGTTGCGCAGCCACTAAATAATGAAATTAAAAATGAATGCATACACATGGTTAATGTATTGTAACACCAACTAACTAATGGATATTATGCATATAGCAATATGCGTCAGTTGTATTGTGATTAGATTCACAGGCGCACATTGTTATTATCAACAGGCACTATTCAAACATATGTTTACAAAATTAATAATTAGGTTTGAAGACAAGACGTTCATAAAGATATGTTTAATTAATTTAGAACGTCACTTGTTGTACACTTTATTAGAATTAGACAAATTGATATGTAAGGGAAAAGCAAGTAATTTATTATTAATTAAATATAATATTACAGGTTTTTTGATGTTTGTTATTCAATCTTACTTTAAAAGTTGAATAGAGAGCTGAGAGAATTACGAATTTAAAGTGGATATGGACAGGACAGGTCAAAAGGAAACAAAGGTCGGGTTTGGACTAAGGTTAAGATGGAAACATAGTGTAGATAGTAGGGCAGTAATGAATGAAATTACTGCAGGACCGTTACAAGGAAAGTTAAAAAAAAATTAGCTTTATGCCCAGTAAGTAGGCTGATTAGATAGATTTATCACAATGATTTATAGGTTGATATACAGTATATTACCAGTGATAAAGTCACAAATTCTTGTTACTATCAATTTCCTCCCTCTAGCCAGATCTATATCACATTTTGATTGATAATTTTTTGATAAGTTTTCTTTTGTGATATTGACAAACTTTCACATTAAGCCCACAAGCGTTTATGTATACGTTACGTTATACGTTGTACCAAACAAAAATGTGGTATCTCGCGCTAATACAACAGCGTTTGTTGCATAACTCGAATTTGTAGCATCTTTTCATTAAATTTATGTAGGTAATAAATCCATTTATCCATGACCTCGTGTAGTGTAATAAGTGTAGCGAGGTAGCCTACAGCCGATCGCTCCATGGGTGAATAATAGTAGTAAGACTGAAGAAATTGTTTATAAAACCGAAGGCACATACAGTGGAATCCCGTGAGGTGTACGTCTGCGGGCTGTGCGCGGGGCGCGGAGGCGAGGCCGGGCCCGGCGGCGCGCGCGTCGGCCGCGTGCGCGGGCGCCGACACCGCGCATGTGAACGGCGAGCCCGGCACCGCGTGCCCGTTGAACCGCACCGACAGCGTGTGCAGCGCCGCCTCCACCGGCTTGAAGTTCACCTGTCGCACACCAAGACGCTATATTAGCTACATACTTCAGATTATATAGATAGAGCATTGAGCATTAAAAACGGGTCAACTTTTTGTCAGTTTATTTTCAAATTAGTTGACTCGTTTTTTTTTATTTTTTTATCAGTGTTCTATATATTTACGCAATAAATGTATCTTGACGTATTATTTAATAAATAAAATGAGCGTGTACGCATTAAAAAGACGCTGAATTTATAAGACAAAATAAATATAGAAGTTATAAAGGAATCACTCATAACTATTTACCATGCAAAATTGTATGAAAAAGTTAACCCATTTTTCTGAAGCATGTTTATGGAGATGCTTTATTTATATAATCTAAGACTTCTGCATATCTACTTCACTTAGTTCTTTTATGATAATGACTTAATTAAAAATTGCCAACCATATGAATATAACTGATAAACACAAACACATTTAATTTTTTGTTTTAGGATCTTTTATGATGGTGAATTAAATTAATAGATATATTTTTAAATTGTTATTATTATCTAATAAAGTAATAATTCACTTTACCTTAAATCTGGCATTCCCCTCACTTTGAACAAAATTTGGCACGTTTCTTCCATTTACTGCTACAATTATTTCCAAGTTGCCAGCACCTGTAAATAAATGAGGATAGAATTTAAAATAGGTCTCGATCAAATTTATACAAATATCTATCTAAATCAGTGATACGATAAAAAAAAATTTTGTACATGTTTTATTTAATTAGATTTATTAATTTTACGAAAGTTCATTTCACTGATTAGTTAGTGAAAAATAATTTACATTTCACGCCCACTTTATTTTTAGAAAAATAAAATTACGCTTATTAAAATTCAACAATCAAAAATTATTGTAAACATACAAAATATGTAATGCAAAATATACACTAATAAATTACAATTACGATTCTATTATGAATGATTGAGTTACCGGCATGCGACGCGTTAATAGTGAAGGAGACGGGCCTGCCGACGACACCGGGCGAGATGTCGGTGACGGACACGCGCGCTGCACTATACGCCTTCACCAGGAAAGGGCTGCCTTCCACGTGTCCACCGGTTGACCCAGCACGTACCTGACATATTCATAGCTTTTTATAACATATAGAATGGTAAACGAGATCACCTAAAGTGATTATCGTCTCCTACAGGCTTAAACAGCAGAATGCACAGAATTTACTATGAAACCAATTATATTTTCCAAGCATTACCATTCTTGAGGATTAAGATTTTTTTTTAATGGATGATAATGGAATGGTAATCCCGCATGCGCTTACGGTATACACTATCAGGGCAAGTATTAAGATGTACAAGCACAGCTCACAAAAGACGAGGGGGAGGGGGTTGATAAATAATTAAACAGATAACTTCTGTACAATCTTCCTCTGATAATTGGAATAAGAACAATAACTAGCATTTAATCTTTTAGTTCTGTAATTACTTCAGTATTTTTTCATCTAAAAATTTGTATATGTTTATTCAACAGTCTTATTTAAAGCTCCAATAATATATCTGAAGTTCGTAAATTTCATGTTCAACATTGAATAATTTTGGCTCTCTATAGCCAAAATTACTAATTTATTACTTAGTTCAGTCTCTCATTTTATATTATTATATTGATACTTTGATGGAACTAACCTCTATACTGTGATCTCCGACATCGACAGGAACAAATGAGATGGTGTAACGTTTACTTGCTTCATTTTCACCAATAGTATCTTCAGCTGACATCTGAAATCGATATTGCGTTCATTATGAAATGTACCATATTCGAAACAGTATCTTAATTCAAATTCACATAAAGTCACATTTGTATTGTTGTTATTACAATTTTTTTTTATTCAACTTAGAATGGCAAACAATCTAACGGCCCACCACATGAGCGGTACCATGGGCATAACAGAGTATACTGTTTCACCCATGATACCCCCCGTGTTGCCATTCCTGAGGACTCAGGTGTTATTCCTCCGTATTCAGTAAATTCACGCCATATCCCACCCTTCAAACTGAAACACAGTCATGCAAACACAACTGCTTCACGGTTGAAACACGAATAGGACAGAGGTACCCAAGCAATCGACTTTTGTACAAAGTCGTTTTTCTGTGTATCATCAAAGTTGACGTTTTAATCTCAGAAATAATAAGTCGAGCATAGACAGTGTCCAGTTCACACTTTAGTCTAATATTGTATAAATAATAAACACATGTAAATAATTGTACATTATTCTGAACTTTAATGGATTTGTGAAATGTATGTGTGTGTGTGAATGTGTGCGTGCGCATGTATGTGTCTACGAGTGTACACTCGTAGTGTTAATTTTATCGATGTGTATACGCGTAAGTATGAACGTCTTTATGTGTGTACATATGCATTTATTTGTTAGTGTATATATATGGTCTACCTGTACAGGGACAGGCCGCCTCGCAGGGCCGAGCACTTCGACATGCGGCGAGGTGGGCGAGTCCACGTTGAACTTGTACGCATCGCCTACCGACACCTTGTCCGGGGACTCGCTCGAGCCGGCGCCGATCACCCGCGCCGGCGCAGACACGTGACATATGAACGGGCTGCCTGCGGTTATAATAATTATATTTTAACTATAACAATGTTCTCTAATCTTTCTCGGATCTTATTAGATTCTGTTAACAAAAATACGTATATATATCTTATAGCTTCTTATAACGGCTTAACCAATCACTATGAAATTTGGTATATATATGGAAAGGTGAATAAGTTACCTGGTACATGATCTCCATTAAATCGCAATTCGACGGTGTGTGGCCTTGGATCTTTTGGCGTGAAGCTTATAGCGTATGTGTGGGCGCCCTGAGCGGCAGCGCCTGTTGGGACTCGGCCACCGTTCACAGTCACTTCCAGATTACCGGGACCCGCTGCCATGGTCTCCACTGCATATACAAACAAATGCAAAATCATTGCAATTTATAGCTATATAAATAGTAGGTATATGAGTCGTCTCCAATCAATGAAACACCAAACAATAGTAATAACAAGACACCAACAGTAATGACAATACACTCTGTTTTTCAACAGACATAAAATAGGATATTTTGAACCGATTGTATTTTTTTGCGTGATACTTTGTAAATTCTAGGGATTATGATAGCTCTTCTTACAACTGATAATGAAAAGGTCAATATGTATAAAGGTCGTATTGAAGTAGTTTCAAAGAAAGAGAGGGGTAATAGTCAACAGGTGACTAACTTCATAGTCGGATTACTTAGACAAGGTAGAGGGATAACAGTAGATAAGATTGGCATAGAAGGAAAAAATTAAATAATAAAATGTAAAATTTTAAGTAACATACCCAAAAATGTAACAGGTTTTCCGACGATCCCATGTGCAACATCTTTAACTCTTATTGCGTTAACATCATATACCTGAAATTTATAAGTTAGTCGGTTTTATTTTTTTCAAGTTGCATATTAGGTAATCAATAATAATAAGAGCTAACTCATAGGTAGAAATATATATAGTCATAATTCAGATTTTTAGTTGAGCTTGGAGGCTACAATCAGAAGATTCGATTATGTACAATTCTTAATTTATGACTAAATTTCCTTTTATATTTAAATGAAGCAATAGAAAATCATAAAAAGTTTATGAATCAAATTCAAATACTCACTTTCAAATGGAAAGGACTAGCGGGTATCGGCGCTGAGTCAACGAGCACATTGAGGCGGTGTTCGCCGACGGCTCGCGGCACGAACTCCGCTCGGAACACGCCGGCGCCCGCAGCCGACACCGCGGCCGGTACCGACGCTCCGTTCGGACCTGCGCGGTCGCAACGCTCAGCTCACCGCCACGCCCCAATCATAACCCCCTAATTCTATTTTTTTTTTATTTCATCGGTCTTGGCCGTTTTGTTTTCCCCCAATGAATGTTAGGAGTTAGGGCGAAGCGATGAACTTATAGACAATGTTATAGCGTTATTCTAGTAGTGTGTAATCTGAAACTAGAATTCTTTTTTATCTTATCACTTAACTATACCTGAACCGTATTATAAATTGAAACTTATTTCTAAATATAATCTGTATAAATATTAATAAGATTATAATGAATTATTATTAGTCATATAAAAACAAAACAGGCAAGTTAAGAGGTGGATCAGTGTTAGTAGCGAAGCTTAATTATGAAATTGCTGTATTTTCTTCTACTAATCTTAATATTCTCTTTATTTATCCCTCCCTTGGCATTTTTCCTTTAATTTTGTTTGTTTATTTTCAATTTTTTTCTTCATTCAATCATAGAATGTTTTCATTTTTTCTTAAATTTATACCACCCTGCAAAAGAGAATTAATTATATTGATGTAGCATGACTACTGGGAAATATTCTGACATTATGTAAATGGCCACAAAAAGCTACAATACATACATCCACCTCCTAAATAGATAATATCACTTAAGGTAGAAAAACTTAATATTTTAAAATATTAATTATTGATACATCTTTAAGAAGGTTTAAAAAAATAAGGTGTACTAAAATAAAATATTACAGTTATCATGAGTTCTTGATAGTTTAATGTGTAGATAAAAAATATATTCACAACAACAATAAGCACACAAAATAATACCCTAAGGATATTTCACATTATCCGATAAGGTATCGGTATCAGATATTAATAGCCGAGAGTTGATATTGGATACCACATAGATCTTAACGTATTACCAATTAGCTATATCCAGTAATTTTGGCAGCATGAATTAGTGAGTACATAAAGTATCTTATCTGCTAATTTAGAAGATAATCTACGTGTAGCAAATTCATTTACATCCATTTTTGCCATCCATCGAATGTTACGAATTTGCACATTTATAAAATTAATATCATTCCGATTTAACTATTTTACATTTTCACATGCGTATTACACAATATATATATATATATATATATATATATATATATATATATATATATATATATATATATATATATATATATATATATATATATATATATATATATATATGTACATTTTATGTAGTCGGCACATCATAATTTATCTTCTCTGATAAAATCATCTCTCTCACAAGACCAACGCGTAAATATTTTATTTGATAGTATATAAGGAAGCGGGTTAATGTTTTTGGTATTATACTGTCACGATATCGGAACTGTCTGGCACTAATATCATATCGGATAATGTGAAATGCCCTATAGCGTTACACGTAGTTATTGTGAGTTTTATTGATACAATATATTTAACCGTGATACATTTTTGTATAATACCACTTGTATAGGTGTCAATCGGTATACTTTACTTTCAATGCATTTTTAATTGAAAATACTTATTTATAATGTTTGGTATTTTTTATTTTTCATTCATCAACATTCATAGTGTAGTGAACTAGTTTTCTTCTCATTTATTTTTCTCCATGCGTATTATCACTAGGTCTGCTAATATCACTCAGTCATCATGCACTGAATAAATTCTGAATAGTAATGATATACATTTATAGGAAGTTACATTAAGTACAAACTAACACGTGTGGACACTGACACATATAGATAGGTAAGCACTAAAGAACTGTCTCAAGCTGGTACACTCACCCTCGACGTTGACTTCGATCTGGTCAAGCGTGGCGGTGGGGTGGTGGAGCGTGAGGGCTGCGGGTTGGTGCAGTGGCGCCGGCCCGGGTAACGTCACGCGAGCGCCGCCGCCACTGCCCTCAGACACTTCGATCACAAGAGGGCAGCCAGGCACGCGCATCTGTTCAATAAAGCCTAATTTAAATTATGGAATAACATAATATTAAATTTATCAACAGATTCACGCTTAAACCTTTACAATCATAAAGCATGCATATGTTTTTTGATTCATGATGCAAAATAATTTAATATTTCCTAGTACAAAAGTCAATTGCTTGGGTACCTCTGTCTCATTCGTGTTTCAACCGTGAAGCAGTTGTGTTTGCATGGCTGTGTTTCGGTTTGAAGGGTGGAATATGGCGTGAATTTACTGGGTACAGAAGAATAACACCCGAGTCCTTAGGAATGGCAACGCATGGGGGGTATCATGGGCGAAACAGTATACTTTGTTATGTCCATGGTACTGCTCATGTTTATAGGCGATGGTTACGGTTACTTTCCATTAGGTGGACCGTCGGCTTGTTTGCCATTCTAAGTTGTATAAAAAAAAAATATATTGTGCTACAGATAATAAATTTTATTTTTTAAATAATTTATATTATGTTCATATACATTTTCTTACTAGTTTTTTTATTACATTAATATTTTTTGATATAAGCATAAGTACGTTATTAAATGTTATCTCAGCAATATTGTAGAATAGTTTTAGGTACTTGGTTATTAAAACCAGTAACATATTCATTTGGAAATGGTAGTTTGAAGCATAATAAAAGAAACTAGTTTTACAAGCTACTAACTTATAAAGCCAGTATAGTCACTGACTTAATAGGACAGTTGTAAGGCTTAATTAGCAAAAACATAACATGATTATTACAAAATAACTTACTAAAAAATTTTTTTATTTCCATAAGTTCTATTTATACATTTCATTCAAATCTATTCAGTTGGAATAACAATCAATGTTTTTTTTTTATATTTTTGTTAGCAGGATAATAGAAGCTTACCTTATTAAAAGACACATTAACAACATGGTCACATGCTTCTGTTGGTGTGAATGATACTGTAAAGCGAGCATTCCCCTGTAAAGACACAAAATACTGTAATTAAAAGGAAAATATATTGAGTTAATAAACCTATATAACATTTATTTATTTATTATTATTAAACACTCCTAATAAATTAGATAAAAAAAATTACAGATAATTATTTCTATTAAAGTAAAAAAAAATACATGATAAGTAGATGATTTTTTTGAATGGGTCTAAAAAGAAAATCTGAATGATTATTATAAAGGGAATAGATTGATTGTATATAATGGATAAACTCAAAAAATGACTCAACCAATTTTAAAAATTCTATATTTACAGAAAGTTATATTACCAGTGAGTAACTTTAGTATATTATTAAAAAAAAAACTGTATGAAGCCAGGACAGGTCACTAGTTAAAAAAAAAGTGTGAACTTATGATTATTATATGATTAGATTTACCTGTGGGTGTACTTGTGTGGGTATGTTTAGTCCATGGGCAGCAACAGTAATTTCAAGGTTTCCCTCTCCTGCCTGTGCAGCATCTACTGCTAGTTGTACTGGCACACCAACTCGGGCTGATGAACCTCCTGTCACACTTACTAATTTTCCATCATATGCTTTGCAAACAAATGGCGTTCCCTGTAAATAATTGTTCATCAATTAAAAAGTAATTCTAGAATTTTTCTATTCTGTCTATCTCCTTTTCAATGTCACATAGAGAATTTTTGCATCATTATATTTAGAATTGCATGAAAACTACTTTATTTATTTATACTTTATTATATATAAAAATTACATTGTTATAATTTTAAATAAAGATGTACATCAGGCGAGTTTAACTTTAGAAGAGTTCTGTTCCAGCAAACCATAAGTGAAAAGGATCATTAATACTTTTAGTTTTATAATATTTGGAATAAATTTAGAATTAAATTGTTTTCTTTGTATCCTGTAAAATTTTATCTAAGCTACGTAGTAGATTTTCACAACTAACCATTGATGTAAATTTATTAATAATTTAATTATTGGTAATATGTTGAAAAAAAGATTACTTCTTTGTATGCATATATATATATACTGTATTTTAATTTTATATGTTTTTTTTACAATTGTAATTAGTATTTGGGTCACTTATATACCCATAGCAAGTAAAAAATAAAGAGAATACAAAATTTTAATATACTCACTGCTATAGGTTGATTATTATAATGTGCTGTGAGTGTGTGAGGTCCTACAGCCCTTGGTATGAAGCTGGCTACTAGACCAGTGATGACATCTCCAGTCAGCCTCACAGGAACTTCACCCCGGGGGCCACGGACTGTCACCGTGAGCTCCCCACCTGTTGAACCTTCCACTCGTACAGAGCATGATGCAGTTTCTCCAACAGGTATTAGTTCTGTACAGAAAAGATGAAGCCAAATTATATACATCAATAGTAGTAAATTATGATTATTACAGTGTTAATGAATATTGTAATTTTATAAATTATAATATTCATTAACGTTATTAAGAAAGGTATTTAGCAAGTACATAATTATTATCATTAAATACATATTAAAATATAAATTTGAAAAATTGGCCTTACATATCAACTTATTACATTTATTGTTGACTTATCTAAGTTATGATATACAATGGCAAATAAGCTAGTCTCATTTGAAGGAAAGCGGTAACTATCACCTATAAACATGGACCGCATATTTGATTTTAAAATTAAAGCCATTAATTTTTCTTATTGTCATTAAAACTATTATTATATTTAATAATAAAATAATCCATTAATGTATTATATGATTTGGATAATTATTTATATTTAAATTGGTTAATTTAAAATGTATTAGATTCTTAAATACTTAACATAAATAAATGAACTTTTGTAATAAAATAGAACATTTGTTTACATTTTATAATATTGTTTTTTTTTTGGTTGGTCATATAAAGCAAGTAGAAGCAATGACCTAATAATAAGACGAAAGAAATTTAACTAAGTATCTATGCTATCATTTAAAGTTTCAATACAATAAAAAAGGTTAGTGTTTACAGTATTGCTATATTGTTTTTAAATACCTTTATTAATAGGTATCATAAAAAACCTAAGTATTTTTAGTGTATATTTTTAAATATAATGAATTGGTTGCATAGATTTTTTACAATTGTTTTTGTTAGAAGTGACGTGAATCTAAAAAGTAAGAGTTACCAACTGCAAAAAATATTTATCTCCATTATATACGAATACATTTACAATACATAAAAAATAATAATACGGGTAATTTTTTTCTGTTCATGTGGCAATAATTTTAAGTTGGGAATTTAAAAAAAAATGTATTTCTGTATATTTAATTTCACCTTCGATACGTTAACGAAATTATTTGTATATTATCGCTATGGTTGTGATACAAATATTTTTTTTTATTCCAAAAGTTAGTTACCTATTGGTAGTGGTAGAATAATATATTCTATACGTAGTTATTCATCCAAAACAATTATAAACGTATCAAAAATCACAAATAGCTTCATTGAATAGATTTAATCACAGAGCAATTAATCATTAATTTAACAGAAATTGCTGTTCTGTGTAGCTAGAGCCCTCATTATATAAATGCTAGTACCTAAGTCTAGTACCAAATGAAATCAAAAGTAGTAGTTATCAATTAATTTTATTATGAAATTGAATATTACAATCAATATTTTAATTATTACCAGGTAATGTTTATGTAGGGTACTAACCAATTTGTGACGTATCTATGGTGACTCTGTGCGCTGCCGTAACATGAAAAATAAATGGTGATGATGGAACTGGCTCTCCATTGAATTTAATGTCTACTCTATGAGGCGTTGGCGTTTCTGGCTTCCAATATACAAGACAACGTCCACCACCTACGACCTGTAAAATCAAAGTATATATATAATAGTTAAATAGGAAGTTGCCTTACTTAAAGCGAATTAGTTATTTAGAGGTTTATTTAGTTAGGTAGATATATAAATTTAAAAGTACCTAAATAAATAAGTAACTACAGGGAAGGAAGTAATAGGTATCTAAATAATAAAATCTACTTTTGAGTCAAGATTGTTCATTGATTCTGAGTATGTATAGGTAATTGTACTAAGTAGTACAACTGTAGACAGGCACAGTGAAAATTATTTATCTAAGGAGGTATAGAAAATATTACCTGGACGTGATTTGGTACTTCGCCCTCGTTAATAGAAATTTCTAATTGGCCTTCTCCAGCAGCACTAGCGTCAACTATAATAGAAAGATAAATTACGTGTTGTGTTAATCAGTTTTAATTATTTTAATAAATAAAAGTGAAAGAACGATTTAGTCTAGAGGTATATAGGTATTATGCAAATTTTCAGATAGTGAGTTCGAATTTTCTCAACATCGTTTTTCGGCAGCAGGCAGGTATATAAGTCGAATATTAAATTACCTCATCAAGATTTAATCTAAAAAAAATAAAATTACTTTAGTTTTTCAATATACTCATTGCTGTCCAGAAATTATCCGAATTTCTATATCGACATATATTTACCTATTTTATATACATATATATACGAAGCAGATACAGTATATATAATGTTATGTTCAATCTAAATGCTAGTGATAGGTATTTGATAATTAAATCAGTACGGCTTTATAATGTGCACGTGAACTGGTATTTCTTGAATACATAGGGGACTAAAGTGCCCGGGGCGCGCGCTCGTTGTGCTGCGTTTCGGACGTTGGTAGTAGATACTCGTATGAAAATCTATGCAACGAAGCGCTGCCGTTTACTCAGCAAACGTGCCCTAGAGGCTTGTTAATAATATAAAACTACCTAGTAATTTTAAGTGATGAAATCCAAGTAACTATATAAAATTTTTTAATAAGTAAGTAGCGAAAAAAGTAGCAAGTATTTAGGTATAATCTAGAATGAAAGGGATGTAGTATAAATATGGCTATTAAAACGCAAGACGATAGAGATGTGACTAAATATATATTTTTTTATACATCTTGGCAAATAAGCTGACGGCCACTCACCGTATGCCCACCTTAAGAATAAAATAACCACCAGCTATAGACATGAACAGCATTATTGATATTACAAAATCAGCATCAGCTTATTACAGTATATTCGTTTTTATTCTTGAGGACTATGGTGTTTTGTATTTAGAATATGAACATTGGTTATGCCTGTGTACTCCGTAATTTCATAGCCATACCCCACTCTTAAAATTGTTACATAGCCTTGAAAGCTTAGCTAATTCACAGTAGTAACACGAGTGGCACGGAGGTTTTCAACTCAGGGTGCTGTTTTAGTGCAATTTACATCTCTAAAATAATAACTGTATGCTGAATTGGTTTCGTACCCACTTTGTTTTTTTACCAAAATTAAAGGGTCACATTTATTGTCATTTATGTTGTGAAGAATTACCTTTAAATTGGCATTGTTGTCCGACGACAGCGTTACCGACGTCTGTTACTTTGATGAGGCTGGCATCGTAAACTTTCGCCACCAGTGGACCCACAGCCACCTTATCATCAGCAATTGTAACCTGCCAGTAAATTAATAATATTTATTACCTATCAAAATTATCCTCAATAGTGTATTTAAGTAAAAAAATATTGTCGATTAATTTCTAGGTCCTGATTTGTTTCCTTTATTTATACCACAATGTTGGTTACAGTATTGTCATTTGTATAACTGAGTGCGATCATTGTATCACATAAATATTAATGATGCTAAAAAGAAACAGTAGGGTCAATTCTGTGCACCATTTCTAAATAATATTGTTTATAAACCTATTTCTAAAATTAAAATTTCAATTTGATATCACAACGAAATTTTTATTATAAGGACCGATATAAACTAATTTTCTAATAGGTTTAATTTCACAATTATAATTTTAGGTTATAATGGTCCATTAAACAGAAATTTCGGGATATTATCAGATTAAAATATTAGGTTAAGAGATAGATTTAGGGAAATGGCGGCTCTGAATCGGGCTCAGTGTTGCAGAAATCACGGAGTTCATATAGTGGGATATCAACATATCATGTGCCTACACTTTGGAGGTTTAGTACATGAATATGTGTTCTAGATCGGTGCTATTTCATTGCAAAAATATTTTGTAGGTAAAAACTGTATGTGAATTGTAATCGCACATAGTATGATATCATTATGGTAGACGTTGCATATAATGGTGATTGATAACTTGACCGTTTCGCTAATCCTGATGTTGATAATAAAATTATACATCTACTTATTCTAAAGTTAGCATAGTTGTTGATTCTCTGGAATTTTGAACTGCAAAATATTGCATCATTTGTATGGGCAATGTACCGTGCACGCGGCGCGCCAAACGTTTCGGTTCAGCAGCGACCCTCTCCAAACAATATCTGTATATAGCGACATTATCATCAATCAGTAGGCTTAATTATATCTCCTTTATCCATGTGTTACGAGATCCAGTTCATCTTAGAATTCGAGGGCATGATAGACTAACATAATACCTCAGGTACATACACATACTGAGTATTGAGATGTAGGTGTATACGTATTGGCATACAACATGGGGGCTAATCGAAATAAATGGGGCACAGTGGCGCATGGTAGCATTATCTCTCTAATATAAAATCTCTTTTATGCGTTAGCTCAAATTATGTGTGAATTCATTTGTGTTGCAGAATCATTTAGTTTGAATTAAATAAGGCGCTTGGAAAAATAGTTTCAAAAATTTTTGTTTCTCTTTTTCTATTTGTATATGTATATGTCTTAAGGAAATGAGGAAATATATACCAGAGTTTACTCGTAAGTAACTTTAACAATCTAAAGAGTGCCTAGCCGTAATTAAAATAATATTTACAAAACATTATAAATTTTCAAATTTATAATATTAATAGAATTCATTATTATTATTAAATTGGTGAGGAGTTTTGTATAAGAAAAAATGTTTAGGTATCAATTTATCTATGGCCTTGGAAGTTTAGGAATCGCTGCCAGGTGAATAAACGTGATATATAAATTATAAATCTTAAATTTATTTTTGAACAAAGTTTGCTAAACGGGTTTACTTTGTACTTAGATCAATAACAATATATAATAAATTCGTAGCTTCGATAAACTAAATTTATCAAAATACGAATAGCAGTTTACGAATATTAAGTATTTATGACTGTCTACCATAGTTTTCGCATTATATAAAATGTCAAATTCGAGTTCTATACAGGGGTAAAATCAAAATCGTTAGCATTGAACTTGAATGTTTTTATCAAAAAATAGTGAACTGCAAAACGACAAAAAATTTTGAAACTACCATACTACCACGGCGCGTTCAGCTGTTGTATCAGTTTGGAATATTAAATGTTTTTTGGTAGTTTTAGAATTTTTTATTTTCTCCTAATTCCTTCTATAGCATGGATAAATTAATAGTATTTCGATTTCACTCTGTATAAATAAAAACTGAACATATTTTTATTACCTTCGCAGAAAATTGAACCCGTTCAGAGGTCGTTTGCAACGGTACTAAAATATATAAAACTTATTGGCCCTGTCCTATTTATTGTTGTATCCGGAGGAATTATCGATTTTGTTTGAAAAATATAATATACTAGGTAATTCCTGCATCTTTGTTTGTATAGATTTCATTAAATGTTCAGGATATGATCCATCTGTCTACCATAATCCATTTATCCATTTTAGTGTTATTATGTAACAAACATCCAAATATCTTTATAAACTTGCCCTCTTTTATACATCTAGTATTGGTGGCATTATAAATAGCTGATATATACCCAATCCAAGGATTGGAATAATAATTGTGTGAAATATTAACAAGAAAATTAAACAAAAGATATGTTAGGACGCAGTATCAACACTAACTAAAGCTGGATATCGTTTGTTATTGTCATTGGAATGCTGGATTAACATAACAATAGGTCTGGGCTAAGTTGTCTACAACTGTATACTGTATTCTATGCAAACATATGTATAAAGAAATTGTGTATCTACAATATTTCTAATGTTAAGTATAAATATTTCATAGCACTTGCTTTTCATTTTTGGTTTGTTTAAAAAAATATTTAATAGATTGTAGTTACTATGTAAAGGATATGTGGTAACAATACTGATCCAAACTTTGTTATGGCGGCTATTTAATCGACTAAGTTGATTTAAGAGTATTTATGTGGAAGCAAGTATACATAGAAACGTATAACGTACTTATCCTTAATTATTTATAACACCCAACACTTCAATGATTAGAAAGGTGAAGTTCCGTTACATACATAATGTATGTTCGGACGTTTTAGTGGTAGCTTTTGTATGGATGTACGTGTAGTGTACCATTCATTCTATTTCGAAATGGCTAGTCGTTTTATGACTCAAACTTTGTTCTTTATGAAGCATAAAGTTTTGACATAAATGCGCAGGTTGCTGAATGTCTTATAAAAATAGCGTAGTAAAATTCACTGACCTATGTACCTTATGATTACGGATTGCGTGGTATAAAATATGTATTAGAATATAGTATTTCAGATACGTATTTGAGAAAGAATAGCTAAGATTTTATATAATTATTTAAAATTGTTACTACAAGCTTTCCATTTTTTTAAACATCATTAATTTACTTTATTCTTCGAGAAAAATGCCTACTTTTTTAGAAGATAATAGTCTAATCAAATGGATCGTTTTCAATTTGGAGGAAAAGTCAAGAGTGTCCGGAACGGGTACGTATGTGTGAGACTTTAATTTTAAACTTTTGTTTATGTGCCAAAAAGTTTCATTACTTTAAGTCTCGATAGTATATTTAAAATATTGTATGAGACTAGTTATGAAAGTCGATATGAAGGACGAGTTGTATGGAGGGATAGAAGTCTTTGGAATCCCATTATTTTTGTTTACTTAGCATATAACTTATTGTGAAACTAAATAGACAGAGATGTATTTATGTGTAAATATTCTTGTGAAGTTTTATTTATGGTACAGGGCATAATGGGAATTAATATCCGCTCCCTTCCGACTCATTAGACAAAAGGGGCCGAGCTCGTTATTAAAATGTTAAATGGTACGATGTATATAAGACAATATTTGTATTAAATAATTTTTAAATGAACGTTAATAACTGTTTCTATGACACCTGTTATAGTTGTAGATATAGAACATGATAGGTGTCTACTTATGAAACTTTTTTTGAGAATTATGAAACAATATTTAGTTGCTTATAATGATTAATGATCTTATCTAGGTGTCTACTATGATCTTATCTACTGTGACATCACTGTTATACACATATAATATAACAAATCACTCACATCGATGAGATGAGTACCGACTTCTTCAGGTGTAAATTCAATGCGGTAAACTCCTGGTCGCTCGGCTACGTCCAGCACCCGGGCTGTCACTGGCCGTCGAGACGGTGCTGTCACGGTCACGCCTACCTGCAAGCATTATAATATTCATTTAAAGTAAAGATAATTAAATAATATATTAAAATGACTATATAATACATATTAAAATTAGTAATGGCCGCGACTTCGAAGCAGGGGGTCTATTATGAGCGCTTAAAAACTGATAGTTTTACAGATTAGATAGAGCCGCCATGTTAATAGGCACTAAAATCATAGACAAAACTGGACAATTTATAGTGACATGACATAAACCCATCAAGTTTTAAAAAAAATATTTTTATTGTAATAAACTCCTAAGCTTAGATTATACTTCCCAGGGCTATTAACATTAAAAATTTAATATAAATAAATCAGAAAAATATTATCATAAGCACTATTTTTATTAAGCATTATATGCTTTGGCTTATATTCGTATGTTATTCACTAATTTAGAACTCTATAATACAAAACAGGAAATACTTATAATAAAAATATATAGAGCAGAACTGCAGGAAATAGGGATGATCGGAAATAGCTGCAGGAAGCCCTTGCCATTAGAGGGCAAACAGATGCCAATAATTAATAGGCAGTGGATATTATAATACTTATATAAATAATAGTCGTTTTCTGTGGTATTACACGCGTGATAAAATCATCCTGTGTTAATATTAAACTCGTACCAAATTTCATTCGAATACGTTGAGATGTTTAGGTGTAATTGAAAATTGAACAAACATGCAAATATAAAAATATCCTTGTAAACTTTCATATTTATAATATTAGGTAGTAGGATTACCAATATGAAATGAAGTAAAACAAATAAAAGTTATTTTATATATTCTAAAAAGGCTGTTATAGACTGTTAAGGTATTTCTACTGATTAATTGATTTATTACCGATGGCTTCGATGATATTCACCTCGTTTTTGTTAAAAGTCGCTGTTCCCGGAGAGGTGGAGATTTCGAAGACAGCTGGCACTCGAGCAGGGATCAGTTTTGTGGGCTCCCCGCCACCACCCGCCGGCCCTGCCATCACCTCGACCTTCCACGGGGATCCTGAAATATAGAAATGCTTTTCTTATTTTTTAAATAACCTTAATTTTTTTTCATTAAATTTTAAATGTTCTGTTTCACAAAAATAGAAGTTAGTTCAATTATGAATATACACATCGATAAACGACAAGACATTAACGTAGATACCTTACATAGTAAATATTTGAAATTAAAATGTGAAACTGCATATTTAGGTGTTCATATATTTTACTTCGCAATAGGCAGTTTTTGCTTCTTAAAGAAAATTTGCAGTTTTTAGTCATAAGATGAAAGTGGAAACAATATGGGGATAAATTGTAACGGCTGAGAAAAAATTTTAAAAATCGGTTCACAATTAATGACCTAATCGCGTAACATGGTCGTAAAAAAATTCAGATGAATTGAAAACTTACTTGTTATGGAAGTCATTTAAAATATCGTTAAAATTCATGAATATATAATCAGATTTATGTTATTAATGTCAATAATGATTTTTTTTTATATCACTGAGGTGGCAAACAAGCGTACAGCCCACCTGATAGTAAACGGTCACTGTAGTGTATGGACGCTTGCAAAACTAGTGTGACGTGCATGTACCCGACCTTGAAGAAATCTTAATACATCCTTTTTGTAAAATATATATTTAGTATTAAAACAATTTAATACTGAATATAGAGATATTACGTAAATAATCGATACTGTAACTAGGCTAAACCGAGACATGTAAATAGTAATCAATCACGTCGTCAAATCGCTCCTAATGACCATCCACCAGTTGGAAAATTGCGCGTTTATGTAAATATTAGCACGCATGCGCGCCGCTGAAATAATAATAATAACAACAGAACGAGTTATCTACGTGCAATTAGTGTTTCGGTATTCGAATGGAATGTAAGATCATTATTACTGTGATAACTTCATAACAATATATTCCTATTGCAATTCAGATTTTCTGGAAGAAAGTAATTTCTAGGTATATAAAGAGATGGCAAAAGATAATATTTTAGATGGGATTTTCTAATTTTTAAATACGTGAAGTGGGAAAGATTTTACTTCCAAAGTAAAAATTTTATATGATACAAGAGCGAAAGTATTATTATACATGTGCTATAACACATATTGTATTTTTATTACATGTATCCCATATTAATTTTGTTATAATATCAAACTAAAACTTTAGGAGATTTTAGAGAACGAGCTTCAGTATCAACGCCAATGTCGAATCAATTATTATTAATTTTTTTATTCATAACAACTTTAATATAAAATAATGTGAAATAAATCTATAATATAATTTAAAATTAGTTACAAAAAAATGTGACTCCATTTGTATAAAAATTAATATTATGTGACTAATACCTGAAGTAAACTATCTAAATAAAATAATTCAATTGGTTCAGAATTATCATCACAATATAGGGTAAAATAAGTACCACCGTCGCCAACTTATGTTCTTTTATGCAATTGAGAATGGTAAATAATATGACAACCCATCTGTTGGAAAGTGTGTAGTATATAATTAGGTACTTACTAAAGAAAATTATTGTCCATCACCGAAGAAAGGAGGGTAATGATTTTAAAATATAAAAACCCATTCCGAGTGGTTTTTTGAATAAATTTTCTGTTATATCCACTAAACTACTTTATTAGGGTTTTTATTAGTATCGGAATAGGTTTACAAATGCTAATTTTTGAGAAAACGCATCAAGATTACCGTTAGAATAGAAACTATATTATTTGATTCATGGAGTTATTTGAAAACGGTGGAAAGCACTTTAACGAGTCTACTTATACCTTCATATCGTGAATAAAAAAGTTTACTTGTTATAAATAAAAAATAATTTAAGTTTTTAATTGCTTTCTATTAAATGAAGCCAAATTGAATTGAATTTTAAAAATTGTGTATCCTAAATTTTATGACGATTTAAATTACTTTTTTAGAGTAAAACTACTTGTGTGATCGCTGAACGTATAATGACCATAATATAATCTTACTAATACATATATAATTGTAACTAGAGAATGTATGTACAATAGGAAATAGAAAAATTGATATGAGGGATTTTAATGATAGATATATTTAATATAAACAGTAAAAACATAAATTATTAGAATTTTTTCTCTTTGTATATTTATATGTTTGTTCTGTTGTCACGCAAAAACTATTTGTATTGCACCAGATTGTATGTAGTTTGTCACAGTTGTGTCTATTAAAAAACTGGTAATTTTTTTATTTCAATACGCCATCTAAAAGGGATCTTACTTAAATCCATGTCCACAAACTTGCGGATAAAATCTAGTAAGAAATAAAAATAATATAGGTATATTTCGATATGAACCTACTAAATACACATCTATTTGTAGTCTTCAAAAGAAATATATTTATATTATTTTTAGAATTAAAGACGGGGAAAATTTGTTTCATTTTTTCATTAGCGACTTCTAAAAGAAGGGAATTCTTAATTTTAACTAATTCGTTCTCCGGTGTTTCTAATTACCTAGTTTGTTTTTTTGTATATAGGTACATGTATTGTGCCATATCGTCTTCTCATTTTTTGATTTTGATAATTACTTTGGTAATTGATTTTAAATTATTAAAAATAGGTACTCGTAGTTAACTAAGAGCTTTACATCGATTACATAAAAACGAATTTAATTTTCTTTAAACATCCATTACCGTTCACCCAGCTGTTTTGAAATGGTAATCGACAAAATAAATGAAGCATTTTATGAATTTTAAAATGTAGGCCAAATGTTCAGGATATCCTGTTATATTATAAAATAGTACCGTGTTTAGATAAATCGGTACTGCTACTGATCACACTTAACAAAAATATTAAAATTATCATGTGAAAATAGTTTTAAGTTGAATTAAAACTATTTTATTGAAGTATTGAAGAAAAACAATGTTGTGTATTTTACGCTATAAAAAAATAATCGCTATTAAATGGTGTAAAAGGGTTCAAATCGAACTGATTCATTTTACACAAAAATAAATGCATATTTAAAGGGTGGTTCTAAGTATCTTGTCATTTTTTGGCACTATTTTTGTAAAATATTGTAGTTTTATTTCTAATTATGACTTTTTTACCACAACTATTTTGTTAATTGTAGCCTTTTACATGTTTACTATCTCTATTGTTTTTAAAGATATTGTTACCATTCGAAAGAGAAAAATTTGCTTATTTAAAGTAGCCTAAAAAAGAAAAAGGCTATAACTTGAGTTATACCTTTCTCACTAGAGGCACAGATATATATATATATATATATATATATACCTACATAAATGGTTCATGACTAGAACACAATATTACAATAAATCCAATGAAGTACCATTGTTAGCGTCTAACTACGAGTAAAACATATAATTTCTACTTGGTCACATTTACGTGTATAAAGTTGAGTAATATGTTTATGGCTAGTCTGTAAATTAAAATTTTTAGGCAAAACGTAGGTGTATATATTTAACCTATATTCTATGTATAAATTTAATAATTAATGTTTATTCTCACAATCAAATCTTTTGTTATGTTTTAGTAAAATTATACATAGTTTTATTGCCCTTTCAACTCGATCATGTTATAACATACAGAGACTAATAAGATTTATGGATTATAATAAATGAGCTGTCGTTTGTTTCGTCTTAACTGCAGGTGTGCCATAACTGCATAAAGATAATACTAATGAAATAAATATGGCAGTTGAAACCTCGCCAAAATGATTTTACTTTCGAAAAACATTCGCGTTTATTGAGTTTACAGTAAGAAGAAATCCTTTCTGTATTTTTTTTTTGATGGGTGAAAATGGTATGGTAACCCCGCCTGCGCTATCGGGATACGCTGACGGAGCACCAGTGAAGGATGATAGATGAGGATGAAGCAGGTCAGTTGCCCTATCGTGACGAATTCAATAAGAATTGTTTACGATGGTTTCCAGGGGGAACCACGTGGAGGTTGACCTAATAGGGCACATTGCTAGCAATAGTGCTGTCAAACTCCATTGCTAACAATCCCTTTCCCCCCCTTTCTGTATTACGTGTATATAAATAAATCAATGCACGGGATAAATAAAAATGATATATTATACTCCCTTATTAGTGTAGATAAGGCTTATGTATAAGCCATCTATTCAAACGAGGCACTCCGCAAAGCAATATTGTAAAGGACTGCTAACTAAGTATTTATATATACAAACATAACCTCCTAATTGGAATGCTGCATGTTACATGGCAAAATGGCGGATTACAGCGTGTCCATTTATACAAAACCACACCTGTGTGTAAGTACGTCTGACCAGACTCGTTACTTCATACGGCTAGGAGGCTCCCTGCTAACCTCGATAACATTAACGGTACTCGTTTAACGCGTTAGTAATTAGTGTCTCTATACAAACATAAACTAAAATATAATCGTAGTTTGGTTGTAAACTGATAAACTGTCGACATTCTTTACAATTAATTAATTGGATATAAGAAGATAATAAGAAAATACTAAATTAAATTAATTTATAACTTTGGTGCAAGAAACCGGTATACCCAGATGTTTGTTCTGATGACGATGTTACACAACATTTATCTTATTTATAATGTAATTATGCATGCATAAATATAACGCTTCAAATAAGCAGTGGTTAATGTCACTTCAATCGACTTTCTATGCAAATTGGTAAACGAATGTAATTTACCCAATTCAGAACTTCTAATTACAGATTTTGGTAATTATTTAATAGTAGGCACCATCAGTGTGGATAGATTAATTTTGATAATTCTTACAATGAAATTAATTTACATATATTTATATATCAACCTGAGTGTTACTATTTTTTTTATAAGTTATCTTGTTAAGATTTTGTTAAGCATGAAAACAGATTTGTTTGTAAATATATACATTAATAAAAATAAAGTAAATAAATAAAGTAATAAATGCAATAAAAACGTTTGTATAATGCCGGGATCGAACTCGCAACTATGTAGGTGAGGCAGTGGGTTAAATCACCGTCAATCCGTCAAGGTTGTCGACTCCTCT